ATCTAGTGCTCCTGATCAGCTTCTACTGACTCAGCTGGGAGACTTGACCAGGCAAAAATATAATGACTTCAGCTAAGAACATACTCTGCTGATAGGCTGAGTATGTTTTTATCACATGCTGCTATCTCACTGGTCTGGAGACAAAAAAATAAAATCAGTTTATGTTTCTAATATTCCTGCCTAGCCAACTGTGCAGCTTATGACGCCAACTACAAGGATTGAAAAACAGAAAAAAGCATCTTGGAAATAATTGTACAACTTCACAGATCATTAGCAAACCTGACTTCCCATTATGAACCCTGGAATTATAATGTGAGTTTTATTTCCATCCACCTTTTACTATCATTTAAAAGAAAAATTTATCCCCAATTCCCATACTTTTATTAAACTCACTTCTCTCTAGACCCCTAACAATCAAAAGATCCAAGATAAAAGTATCCATGTAAAACACAAACTATAAATTAATCAAATATATAGCCACTGAAAAAGAGGGTTCTTCATCAGGTAAGTTTTTAAAGGTACAGTAGCTGGACATTAGGTTTTCTCCAGCTAACCTGCTGTAAGCCTGCTTCCTGATGTTACCTCTAGAAATAGTTCCTTAGGATGGAGATTCACAAGTTTGTACAATTTTAGCACTTGAACACGGAATTTACATTTAGCACTGATCAGAAGGCAAGCCAAGGTGTTTTCATTTCCCAAGTGTGAATGATGTAATAACAGGCAGGCTGGGCCCCTTGGAGCTGATCACTCTCTAATTCCCAACTACCACTAGGATGACTAGGTGAGGGCTGCCATGTTTCTTCATCCAATGGCCACTTCTGTAAGCAGTCGTTTCATACTTAAAAGATGCCCTCCAACCATACCCAGCAACAGTGGGCTATGTGCCTCAACCTGGTGACTTTAAGAGATCCATGCTTTCTGATGACTCTTCACAAGATCATGGTAGAACCACAAGGGTTCAGCCAAACATTAAAGACCCTTTGTGTCACTTTAGCTCTTGGACAAGGAAGTGATATTTCTTGTAATTCAGAGGAATAATAATGAGTGCTGGATTTTAAGTTGCAAATTTTAAGTTGCAAATTAATAAAAAGCCTATCTGTGAAGGCAGCACATGCTTACATACATATTTTGAGTTCAGAATCTCCACAGAGGTGGGCGTGTAGCTCAGTGATAGAGCACTTGCCTAGTATGTGCAAGTCCCCCTGGTTCTATCACCAGTACAGTGGAAGGTTGGGTGACCTTTCTGGGGCACTGCTTGATACCTATCACCACAACACCTCAGTGATCACCAGGTAACTTAACTGGGAGTCAGCTCCACTGGCTAAGGGGCACTTTAATGCCTCGTTAGGAAAACAGATATTCTCCAAGGTTTCTTTTGGGAAGCTGACTTCAGAGACATTGATGATATCTAGGTATTTTTTCCTTGACTGCTCTAAGCAATTCTAGGTGATATGCAGGTTTTGCAGTAATTCACATGAAAAAACAAACAGAAGTTGACATTTCTAGGACTTTATAGCCAAGCAGATAATATCTGGAAAATTTACTGAAGCCATATAAAATATGCATGCCTTGGAATATTTGACAGGCTACAGTACTACTATTGTTTAATTACAGAACTTATTTTTTTTATTATTATTCTAGGCATTGAACCCAGGGACGCTTTACCACTGAGCCACATCCCCAGCTCTTTTAATTTTTTTTGAGACAGGGTCACACTAAATTGCTTAGGGCCTAAGTTGCTGAGGCTGGCCTCAAACTTGTGTTCCTCCTGCCTCAGTCTTCTAAGTTGGAGAATATTTATATTTAAAAACTCCCCATACAATAGTTATTTCCCCAAGATTTTAGGAAGCACATAAGGATGTCTTTATCTTCCTTTCTCATAGTTTACCTATTTTTCCAATATTCATTAGCAATCTTCTATTTCATGTATTATATACAATGGCTTTTCTTTGAGGAGAAATAAAAATCTGCTCATACATATGAATCACTTCAGGAGGCGCACATGCCTTATTGAAGAAGCTCGGCTTCCACATTTGACTTTGAAGCATCCTAATCTCTGAAACACTGGGCTGGAAAAAAAAAATCATCCCGGAGGACGGTTCCTTAACAGATGTGTGAAGCAAGTTTTGTATTGCTTACTGACTTCTATTCTAATGGTACCGTGAGGGACTGCTCCTACTCTCCAACTAGAGAACTGGCTGGGGTCTTTCAGTGGCTCTGGGGTCTTTGACTGAATACCGTGGTTGCCATCAGTTGAGATCATAATTCTATCACCCAGAGATTTTTGCTCTTAATGCATACACTTTTAAAAATAAAATTTAACAATATTGTGGTAGCAATGACTGTGGACCTTTGTGATTATTAACAACAGCTACATAGTGTTTCACTCTATAGAAGTTATCAATTCACTTCACCAACTCTCCCAATTTTGTCACACTAAAAACAATGTTGTAATGAACATCTTTGTATACATGTATTCATTTCTCACATTATTTTCTTGGGACAAATTTCTTGAAGTGATTGCTATTTTATGTGAGTTTTTTTTTTTTAATAAAAAGGCTTTGGATTCAAATTGCTAAGATACATTACGCCAATTTACTATCCTAAGATAAAAAAGTAGAACACCTAGTTTCAAGTCTTCATTCCACTCACTGCTGAGCTCACATTGTTAGAAAAGGTGAAAAGGTTGATTGGGAAGGGTGCAAAGGCTAGACTGCAATACGCCAGAAACATGCTTGTATCAGTCAGGAATACTGTGTCTCACTGTGGGCCAGCTCCCCTTCAGCTGTTTCTAGCCCCTCCTCCCTTATTCACTTTCACCATAAAAGCTACTTTTCTCTGCCCCTTAGATCAGTCTGGTCAATAAGATGATGTAAGCAGAGAGTCTGGGAACTTGAGGAAAAGTTTTCTCTCCAGATAAAAAGGACAGACATACTGGAACTGCTCCTTTCCACAGCTGTGGATATAGTCTGGAGCTGTCACTGCCATACTCCAACTATGAGGGAAAGACCATGAGAATAATCTGTGCTGACCAATGACGGCAACAGAAAACCTACAGATTTTATGATATGAAAAACATCTGTTTCTGTTTAAACCATTCTTCTTTTTATCTTTTGTTATTTGAAGTTAAAAATATTTTGACAGAAAACTCTGCATGCCAAAGTTTACAATGATTTCCAAGTTATCACAAATGATCACTCAGAAGTAATCAGAAAGCAAATATGGAAAATATGTATATATATTTAAAAATAGGGACATGAAACTTTAGTACAAAAAGCCAAATATGCCATTAAATGCACATTTGATTTGAGCAAGGAATAGGGAAAGGAACACAATGGAGGAGGGGCAGGGAGTGTGGCAGAGGACTATTTTATTTATCAAAACCCTATTTTTTTTTTCCTCTTGGGTACAGAGCCAAACCGCACTTCCTGTCTTTCCCTGTGTTGGTTGGAACCCCAAGATCAAGTTCTGGCTCATGGACTGTGAACAGAAGTAATGATTCCAAGCCTGGGCGTGGCCCACAAAAAAACTTCCATGTAATCTTTGCTCTTTCCTTCTCTGGCCAAATAGAGTTCTTGAGCAGAATCCAAAATGGAAGGAGCCTGGGTTCCCACATTACTATATAGAGCAGAGCTCATCCTTGAACCTACTCAGACTGTGATGTTAGCAATATTGTATTGTGTTCAGCCCTGGAGACTTTTACAGCAGTTAGAATCCTATCATCCCATAAATGTAAGAGTGGGGATAAGGAGAAAAGAAAAAATAACAAAGAAAAACATGATGGATGTTATGGTTTGGACCTGAAACATTCCCCAAGGTTTATGCCTTGAAAGATTGGTGCCCAAAGTAGTATTGTTCAGAGGTGAGACTTTTGGAAATGATTAGATCATGAGGGCTCTGACTTTAATAGATTAATGTATTAATGGGTTCACAGTTGATGCTACTGGGGGTTGTGGAAGCTTTAGGAGTGGGGCCTAGTTAGAGAAAGTAGGCCACTGGAAGTGAGCCCTAGAAGGGTAATATTCCCCCCTCCACTGTTCTTTCTTCTTGGCTGCCACAAGGTGAGCAGCTTTCCTCTACCACATGCTTCCACCATGAGATTCCGTTTCACTGCAGGCCCAAAGCAATGAAGCCAGCTGATGACAGACTGAAACTGTGCACCAAAACAAATTTTCCTTTGTTTTTCTTAGGTATTCTGTCACAGCAATGGAAAGCTAACTGACACGACAGAGTTATGGTATGAATGTTGAAAGTACTATTTGGTCTTTCCATGGGTTTCCCAACTTGACCTAAATACCTAAAGTGCTCCTTGTTGGTGACAAGAGATTTGACAAAATTTTCAATATTTAGGATGAATTCTTTTTTCTCATTTTCTTCCCCCATTTTTTTTTTCTAAATCTACTTTTTCTTTTCTTAAGGCCTCATGTTCTTGACTACCTCTTTAGAACATTATAATTTTTAAATTGTGTAGACTGTGTTCCTGAGCAGATACTGGTTCGGAGGAAAGTCATTGCTAAAACAACGTTAATTTAAACATATTTAGAAATACATTAAAAACAGTCCCTTGCTGAGCACAGTGGCTCACGCTTGTAATCCCAGTGGCTGGGGGTGGTGGGGGACTGAGGCAGGAGGATTGCAAGTTCAAAGCCAGCCTCAGTAACTTAATGAAGTCATAAGTAACTCAGTGAGACCCTGTCTCTAAATAAAATTTAAAAAGGGCCAGAGATGTGGCTCAGTGGTTAAACGCCCCTGGATTAATTCCCCAGTACCCAAAAAACACAGTCCCTTGTTAGACAATTTCAACATTTTGGAGATATACTCCAAATGTAGTTTTCTATATGACCAATAAAAACTAAGTAACACTTCAATCTGTATACCTGCACAAATGGCTGTATAAAGTTCAAAACCAATTATTCATTTCTTGCCTGGCTTGCATTGTCCTAACATCTATGACAAGCTATTACTACAAATAGGCATACAAAAACACAAAAACCGATTGATAAATTATATATTACATGTTTATTAAGGGTACAACTTTTATGTAAAATTTACATTTTATGAAAAAAAAATCAAAAATATTTACAAAATTTTGGAAGATAAATGTGCATTGTTCTAATTACAATCCAAAGTAGTAAATAACAATCCTTAAAAACTCACATTTGTTAGCATTCCGTGTTTACAAAATCTTGGTTAAAGAGGCAGCTACAAAGTTTATCACTATACATAAGCAAGAACCAGCTTGCTAGACATATTTCCCATCAAAAATCTGATTTTTTACACTAGTAGTGAATTTTTAAAAGAAAAAAAAAACATTAGTATAAACTCATATGGCTTCAAAATTGTAACCTGTACCCAATACAAATTTATGTATCAACACTTGGTATGAAGACTGTGGCAATTAAGAAAGTGCAGAAGTTTAACCATTTCACTAATTGTACATTTTAAAGGTAATACTTGATTAAAAACAAACATGGTGAGTATAATAGTGTCTGAATTCCAATAATGAAATATTAACTGCCTAATAAAAGTAGTTTGATTGCAAAGCAGACTTACAGTTAAAATTCCAGTAAAGGACTGTAATTGGCATTTAAAAGAGCACAATATAAGAGTTAGAAATCCTAATTTTGCTATTTAGTAAAGACTAAAATTTTAGCAAATTGTCTTATGTGTTGCTTTAGTCAAATCTAAATTTAGAATTGGGCTAACACTGGATATATAAAAATGCACATACTGTGTTACATACTGCTAAGGAGTAGAGTTTCTGCATATTTAGAACATAGCAAGATGTTACATAAATGTCTAGTGATAGGGGTTTTATTTTCTGTAAAGCTTAATATTACAATTAGTGGTTTTATATAAATTATCATATATAACACAAGTTATCAATTCTATGCAAAATGAATGACACTGTTTTTTTGTCATTATAAATAAATTCCCATCTGTAAATTATGAAACTTTGTTTAAAATATTTCATGAATACAAAGTTAGGGTTTTTACTATTTAGTATGAATAGTTCATTTTAAGAGCTTAATCCAATCTATTGCTTCAAATAATTTACCTATTTTTACCATGTAGGAATTAAATATTAAAAACACACAAACTGGTAATTTTTCCAATTGTTCAAATGAAAACAAGTGATAGTACTTCTCCCTCTGGGGCCAAAAATAATCTTTAAAAAATGTATTCCTCATACAATACTACATGTTCACAATATAATCAGTTTAAAAATGATAATAAACACAGTTGAGTGAAATGCTTAATTGAGAGTTAAAATACCAGTTTCCAATTTACCATCATAGTTTTTCAGAATTTATCTGTTTCACATACTTTTGATGAGGTTAATGTCAAATATCTGAAGGTAATTTTTTTCCTCCTGTAAACATACTCTCTCTTAGGCTTATTTCTCTGTCTAGTGGCTACAGTGTATCACTAAGGTGAGCCAGGATTCTGAAGTATAAATTATCCTTTAGTTGTTCTGAATTCTCTTCCCAAAGGAATGCCAAAGGTATTAACAAAAATTGCAAATATCCTATAAAAATTCATAACCACTGTAAGATTCTGAATAAGAGATCTGTTGTAAGGGGAAAAAAGTGAGGCACATTAATGAACACAAACTTAGGCACGTTTCTGGTTTTTGTTATTGTTTTAAAAGGCACACATTATGCAATCCATATAAAAATAAATTAAATCTACACCATTAATTCATCAAAACAATCACAAGTTCTATAAAGTTAATTGCAGAAGTAAATTTCTCTGCTGTCTTTTGCAAGCTTATTTTTAAAACACATTGCACTAGAGAAAATTTCAAAAATCATATAAAACACCATTTACACCTTATTAATATGTTTATGAGAATCAAATTATAGATTTTTTGCATACAGCTCGAACTCTGGTTTGATTACCTTATGGCACATAACTCAATTTAATTGAGTGTTCTGAGTTATTAACATTATCTAAAACTTAGAATTCATGTTCTGTTCATATTCATTCAATATCAAACTTATGAAATTTCAAAGCTATCTTAGACTAAAAATTTACGGAAAGCTAAATTATTTTGTGCTTGCTCTCCTGAAATTTTAGGCCTGATATTACACTATAACCCCCCCCTTTTAAACATAGACACTGAAGATAATTTAAAATTTTAGCCTATGAAAACTTCACTTTTACTGAGAATCAGAATAAATGTGTTTCCTGAATATTGCATATGATCGTTTACAGCGTACAAAATCATTTCAGTGCTATTTCTTTCAATGACTCACTTTGAAAGTGCGATTTAATGTTTGTAGTTAGCTCTCAAATATGTCTAAGTTTGAAAGACATCATATAAGTTACAATAGTGTTTGGAAAGAACAGGTATAATGCAGAATGGCAGGTCTGTATTACTCCCTTAAGCCAACCACTTTCTCAGGTCCATCAACAATCTGCCAGGTATCTTCCTGGAAAACACCAAGAAATTACAGTTTCAAATATATTCAAAGGACATTTTTCATTGTGCTCACAGACACAGAACCCTATTTTCCATTTGCTATTTAGAATACATTAGAATCACATTTCCAAGGTTCAAGGAAAAAATTTCAATGCCTTTAGATTATCAACTACTTAACAGCTGTTTAGTAGCTGTTAAAATACAAATGTTTCAGCTGGATGAGGCAGCCCACACCTGTAATTTCAGTGGCTCAGGAGGTTGAGACAGGAAGATGGCGAGTTCAAAGCCAGTCTGAGCAAAAGTGAGACACTAAGCAACTCAGACTGTCTCTAAATAAAATACAAAATGGGACTGGGGATTTGGCTCAGTGGTTGAGTGCCTCTTAGTTCAATCCCTGGTCCCCCGACCCAACCAAAAAAAAGAATACAAATGTTTCCCATGTACATTAAAAATTGCAACTTACCAGTGGCAAACCGCTTCTTTACTAAGGAAAGCCTATAGCCAGTGCCAACAAGTTCAATATCTACTCCTGAGAGGGTACTTCCCTCACTGAGGAATTGCACTGCAAGTGTTGTGGGTTTACTGGGTCCTTCTGAAAGATCAAATTTTGCCCTGAGGGACCCAGAACCTACAAAACAAACAAACAAATAAATAAGAAAGAATAAACTTAAATGAGGTAAAATACATTGTGCAACAAATTAAATCACATTAGCACATAAACTAAACTATTATCAGTCCCACTCTAAATTAATGAAATGTGTACAGGAAAAACAAACCATTATCTTGTTTCCAAATTAGATTATATTCAGTGAATCTGATTTTTTATAATCAATCCATCTTCTTTTTTTAAAATTTTTTTTTAGTTGTAGGTGGATACAATATCTTTATTTTTATTTATTTATTTTTATGTGGTACTGAGGATTGAACCCAGGACTTCATAAGTGCAAGGCAAGCGCTCTACCACTGAGCTACAATCCCAGCCCTCCATCTTCTTAACAGTAATCTTCAGAGATGGTTATTATTAAGACTTCTATGCTGGATTCACATTGAAGTTAAGTCAAAAGGAAAGAAATAAGCAATTAAGAGCAGCAGAAAGGGAAATGCTAGTAGGGATATATATAGGTAGGATAAAGTAAAAAACAAAATTACTGTTGAGTATCAGATCATGGGGACCAGAGAGGTGAAAAAGGAAAGGTAGCTATTGTTGGAAAGAATTGTTATCAACATTACTATTTTCTATTCACTCTTCTTTAAAAATTGTTTTTTACTTGTCTAACATCATGCCTTAGATTTTTCAGAAATTCCTTTTGATATAACAATTTTTTTCAACACTCTCTAATCCTTGACAACACTAAACCAATAATTATAATACATATGATAAATGCTGTAAAAGAGCTCCCAGAAGCTATAGACACAAAAGCACATAGCTCTACATGAAGCTATTAACTTCTGGTAGTGGTGATGGTTACACAGGTACAGAGACAGGAGACCTGCAAGAGCCCAATGCATTTAAGAGAACTGCATCTAAAATGTATAAAAAGAGTACTGCATCTATAGTAGAATAGCTGGAAAATATGATACAAGTGTAGAGCAGTAGATTAGACTAGTTGTGAGGACTTTGGGGAATCACCCACGATAAGGAAGACAGGAATATCTCCGATTAGTGCCCTAGAAAGGAAGGGAAAAACAAGATTCAAAATAGGAAGACCAGCTGTAAGTCAACAAAATAGTTTAGGACCACAGGTGTGAAGAAACAGGGATCTGAACTAGGCCAAGGGAAAGGAAAGAACAATGCATCTAAAGGATATTTAGGAGTTGAAGTCAAGAGGTGAAAAAGGAGTAGGAATCTAGAAGAGTTCCCATGTTTCTGGTTAGGTAAAATAGACAAGACTTGCTAGGTATGATTCCCTGTACAGAAGTGTAACGGTAGAAAAAAATGTGGAACAAGATGTCACAACACTGGTCTATTCTATTGGTGGCACAGATCAGAGTGGAGATGAACTGCTGCAGAACTCTTAACTACTGTCCAAGTCTTCCTTAAACTTTTACAACTTTTTTTTAAATTTGAGAGGTTTATTTAGGAAAGTAGATACATATTCAAGGGAGAATGGGAGTGATCTCAAAAGAGAGAGTAAAGCAAGAAATATACATGCACTCAAGGGAGAATGTGGGCTACCTGCAAAGGGGAAGACAGCCAAACTTTTGCAATTCTTGAAAATTACACTAGGAGCAAAGACCAGTCAATTTAAGGAACTTCTTAAACTTCAGAATTATTTCCTGTCCCTTTTCTGGGTACAGAGCCAGAAGAGAAAACATTTTTATTTTACAGTACAACCAGATTTGTGAATTTTTCACAGAGATTTTTATACCTAAATAACAGAAGGAAACTATTAAAATATGTGGTTAAAAATGCTTATTTTTGAGGGCTGGGGATGTGGCTCAAGCGGTAATGCGCTTACCTGGCATGCACGGGGCACTGGGTTCGATCCTCAGCACCCATAAAAATAAAATAAAGATGTTGTGTCCACCGAAAAACTAAAAAATAAATATTAAAAAGTTCTCTCTCTTTAAAAAAATGCTTATTTTTGAGAACAAATTCTTCTCTTGATAAGTATTTATGAGTTATTGTACAGTTTCGTTAAGTGGGGGGAAAAGACATCCTCCCTTCTTGCTAGCTGAATGCAAGTCCTCAATACAGGTAGAATGTCTACCTTACTTCCAGTTTAAACTAGGAATTTCAGTGTGGTTCCCTAAAGTCATATAACTAGGGTAAAAGTCAGTGTATCTGGTTACTTGAAAACAGCCACCTTTAAGTACCAAACAGAAAAAAGGAACTGCAGATTAGCTTGGTATTTCATTCAAAGTGCACCTCTTTAGTAAAGGTCTGATTCTGCCTAACAGGTATAAAGGAACAGACAATAAAGACATGCTCATGGTACTTTACACAAAAATATGTAGGAGAAAAATTACTGACATTATGCTCAAAATGTTCAAAAAGAAAAAGTTGAGCAAAATCTGAAAAGCCAAGAGAGTAGAGGACAAAACTACCTTCTCAATAGGAAAAGTTATTGGAGGCTAATTAAGCATTCCAAAAAAGGAAGAAGACTTCTCTTTTTATTAAGAGAAAATTAAACTATCTAATATTAAACACTGGGAATCATATGCTAATTTTAAATTTAGTTAGGGAAGATCTTAGGAGTGACCAGCAAGAATAGACTTTTCCTTCCTACTGGAAACATAGGTACGGACTTGAAGGAGGCAAATAACAACTTTTTAAAATAATCTTCACAGAATTAAAGACTGCTGATGGTTAGTTCTAATAAGGAAAAACAACCAGGAAAGACTTTCTTATTAAGTTGGGGTGGGCAAGAGGTTTTAAAAAGTAAGAAGATTCTAAATGATTTCTAGGGGGCCAGAATGAACCAAATAATGTGTTCAATTAGTTTTAATTAGTTATTAGGTTACCTACCTGGGATAGACAGTTCTATTTTTTAAATTCATTTTATTAGGTGTTTTTTTCTTAATGTTATCATGTAAATATGAGAGGCATTTACATAATATTTATAAATTTGTAACAAAACATGTTCATTTTCTTGCAGGGAAAGCTCCTTTAATCTAGAAAGGAAAAATCTGAATCATAGCTGGTCCAGTATATTTAAGGTGTTGACTTCCACCTAGTGGTCAGTTCTAGAACTGAAGGCATGCAATTCCAGGAGGCAACTTTCCATAAAAATGCCTAAAAACCCCAAGATGGGGGAATAGCTCACTGGTACATGTTTGAGGTCCTGGGTTTGATCTCCAGCACCACACATACACAAAAAGAAAACAAGAACAACAAAATTCATTTTCAGTTACACCACAAAAAAGCATGCATATACTTACCTCCATTTTCTGATTTTTCTGAAATGCCAGACAATTTCCAAAAGGCTTTCATTTGTTCTGCATTCCTGTAACACAAATAAATATCGTCAGGTTAAGTGTCTAATACATTAACTTATGCATACATAGGCACTTAATAAATAAAAGCACCTAAAGTATTTTCACTATTAACAACTACACTGCTAAGAAATATGTTTATGATATAGCATAAATAAATGTTCTTTCTTAATTAATGGAAATTTACCAGATTATAGAAGTTCTCTAGTTTCTACTGATAAAAAAAAGCTGAACAGGTATATGTGGCTTGGTACCTTAAATAGGTACTCGGGAAAACACTGTTATTAAATGATGAAACAAATATAAAGAGTTGTTAGAGTCTATACTAATATTAACAGAGGAGAGGAGGGAGGTAGTTAGAGGACAGTAATACTACTGAACACTAACAGGTGTTCCTAGAGATATACCAAATGCTATTTTTAACCCTGTAGAATAATTATCACTTTTTAAAAGAAGTTTAGTAATTAAAGGTATTCATTCAGTCGGATGGCATTTACAGCAAAACTGATTATTTTGGATTAAGGCTACTATATCTTGACTAGTAAAATTAACAGCATTTTTTATAGCATGATTTCTATGGGAAAACTGTACTAAATCTTTTGAAATCTGTAAGATAATTTTGAAAACTTGGGTTCTAAAAGTTGTGGGCTGCAATAGAAATTTAGCAGGAGTTCAGAAATATATATTAAATTACCACACTGCAGGGGGAAGGGACTGCATATTTGTGACTCCTCCATCCACTGGTACCACCACCTGTATGTTGGAAAGCACACTAGGTGCCACCATAGCTTCTGGATTGTACTTATAATCCACTCTAAGATCTGTGGTGCTGGCACTACATTTCCAGTATGTTGCAAGATTCAAAGGAGTGGACTGAATGCCATTTGATGATACCTTTAAAAAGAAAAAAATTGTCTTTGGCCTGAAGAGTAAATTAAGTCATATTCATTACACAGATACTTGAACATAAGAATTTACAGAATCAAAAACTATCTAATAAGAGTACTGATGCTAGTAACAGTAAAGGGTCACTCTCAGCATGTACACATGGGATGACCAACATCAAAACATCTGCAGTGCCTGTATACGGTGCATGTTCCCCTGGCTCTAACTGCTGAAAATCTGATTTGACAGCTTAGAGACAATGCCCAGAAATCAGCATATTATCAGATAATTCTTATTTGTGTAAAGTTTGAGAACTTTTCAACATTCAACATAGAATTATTTATGAATAATGAGAATTTAAATATAAAACAATAGAAAAAAGGGAGATTCACCAAACAGTTCCACAAGCCTGCAATCAATACTTCCAACTTAATATGGTTGACTTTAATCATCTGACCCATAATAAATGACACACTTTCTTCCAATTCTTCAACTCTTTGCTCAAAGGGCTCCTTTTGAAGCCATTTAAAAAGCTATCCTGGATAAAGTTCAGTGGTAGAATGTTTGTCTAGCATCTATAAGGCCCTGGGGTTCAATCCCAGTAACACACACACACACAGAAAAGCTACACTGACCACCCTTTACAAATTTTCGTTGAAACTACACTTTTGTCAGGTGCCGTGGCGCACACCTGTAATCCCAGTGGCTAGGGAGGCTGAGTTAGGAGGATCTAGAGTTCAAAGCCAGCTTCAGCAACTTGGCAAGACCCTGTCTCTAAATACAATAACAAAATAGGGCTGAGAATGTGGCTCAGTGGTCGAGTGCCCCTGAATTCAGTCCCAGGTACTGCCTTCCCGGCCCCCACAAAAATGACCCTTTCAATCTTCCTTAACTTTTTTTCCCCCTTTTCTCCATGTCATTATCTTCTAACAAACAATATTATTTAATTATGTGTACTGTCCTCCTGTCCTGCTCCTAGCAATTAGCACGAACTAAATAATAAATAAATAATAACACCCCCCCCCCACCATCTCTCTGAGGATTGAACTCCAGGGCTCTAAAGCACGCCAGCCTTTTTTTATTTTTTGAGGTCTTACTAAATTGCTTAGGGCTTCACTAAATTACTGAGGCTGGCCTCAAACTTGCTTGCAATCCTCTGCCTCAGCCTCCCAATTTGCTGGGATTATAACAACATGCTACCACAGCCAGCTCATTCTATTATTATTATTTTTTTAATGTGGTGCTGAGGATTGAACCCACTCCCTCACCTGTGCTAGGCAAGCACTTTACCACTGAGCCACAACCCCAGCCCCATAACTCATTCTTTTTAATGGTTGTAAGAACTCATTTAATCAATCTTTTCCTTTGCTGATATATACTTAGATTGTTTCCAAACAATGCTATAATGAATATTCTTTGTATCTTATCTTTGCCCATTTACTATGATTTCTGAGAATAAATTTCTGGAAGTGGAATTGTTGAATTAAAGATTATATCTACCCAACAATCTGCTACAACTGCCTTCTCTGAGGTTCTATTTGTGTTCCCATTAACAAGTGGCCACACCCCTACATACTGGGTAGAGCATCTGTTGATGGGCATCTAGACTGCTTCCATAACTTAGCTTCTGTGAAATGTACTGCAATAAACATAGGTATATGTATCTTTATGAAACATAGGTATCATGTATGTTTAAAATATGCTGACTTAATTCTTTAGGATAAACACCGAGGAGTGGGATAGCTGGGTCATATGGTAGATCTATTTTTAGCTTTCTTCCATTGTGGCTGTATTAATTTACATCCCTACTAACTGTGTATAAGGGTTCCTCCCTGTACCACATCCCCTCATCTTCACCAGCAAGAAACTAAAATATTACTCCACTTTAGTGTTTGGAACATTTCTTGACCCTTTTTATTTCATTCTGTCTCGGTTTTGTTTGGCGTCATCTTGTTGGGTTGTATTATAGTAGAAATATGGGATCAGAAATTAGTAAAAAACAAACTGAAAGAGTGTTAAGTAAATTGTTAGAGGAAGGAGGCATCCCAGTAAAATCAAGAGCAGTCAGGGCATACGTTGATACAATACAAAAATGTAGCCCATGGCTTTTTAAGGAGGAGTTGTTAAATATATCACAATGGAACCATCATGGTGAAGATTTAAAAAGAATAGAAAAGAAAAGCCCAGGGACTCTGCCAGTTGGCACATTGCCATTGTGGACATTCGTATCTTGTTTGCTTAGTCCAAAGCCTTCAGTTCAGACAATGGTAGAGGAAGGAGAAGACATAATGATTCAAGTAAAAGAGAAGGTCTCTCAAGTTAGTCAGACAGAGGAAAAGATTCAAGTAAAAGAGAAGGCCTCTCAAGCTAGTCAGACAGAGAAAGAAAGTGTAAAACAGAAAAAGCCATCAGGGGGAAAGTTACAACAGGAGACTGCTACTAACACCTTTCTATCACCAGAGGGTGTAAGTGTCCAACCAACAGCACCACCTCTACAGGAGACTGCTACTAACACCTTTCTATCACCAGAGGGCGTAAGTGTCCAACCAATAGCGCCACCTCCATATGCTGGGAGGCCCCCAACCCCCGCAGTTGATAGTTGGGATCCTGAGACAAGGTCTCAAATATTAACATGCCCTGTATTTGAGGCAGGAGGGCAGCGATTTTACCAAGTTTTAAATTTCAAAACAGTGAAGCAGCTAAAAGAGGCTGTAACAACCTATGGTCCTCAAGCACCCTTCACTGTAAGCATGGTCGAAGTCATTAACAACTTGAACATGACGCCAGCAGATTGGGCTAATATGTGTAAAGCTGTGCTAAATGGAGGACAATACCTGTTATGGAAGGTTGCCAATGAGGAATTTTGCAAGGAGACGGCTAGGCGAAATGCAGCAGCTGGTTATCCTCAGAGAAATCTAGATATGTTGTTAGGAAAGGGACCTTATGAGGATCAGCAGCAACAAATTGCATATGATCCTGGCGTATACGCACAAATTGCTGCAGATGCAATTAAGGCATGGAAGACTTTACAAGGACATGGAGGTTTACAAGGTCAATTATCTAAGGTAATACAAGGAGCTAATGAACCTTATGCTGAATTTGTAGATAGGCTTATTCAAACAGCTACCAGAGTTTTTGGGAATACAGAACAAGCAATGCCATTACTAAAACACCTGGCTTATGAGCAAGCGAATCGTTGGTGCAGAGATATCATTAGACCATGGAAACATGAAGATTTAAACACATATATTAAATTATGTAGAGACATTAATGAACAAGAGCAAGTCGTGGCAGCTGCAGTCAGACAGGCTTTAGATGCCAGAGACATTAATGAACAAGGGCAAATTGTGGCAGCTGCAGTAAAACAGGCTTTAGATGCCAGGCCAAGAACATGCTACAATTGTGAACAAACAGGACATTTTAAAAGGAATTGCCCCATTGGAGGAGGGTTTAACAAAACTAGGTATCAAAGGAGTAGAATACCAGGTATTTGCCCACGATGCCGTAGAGGGAGACATTGGGCTAATGAATGCCGTTCTCAAACCACCATAGAGGGTACTCCATTATCAAAAAACGAACAAGGACCAGGTGTTTATCCACGATATCGTGGAGAAAGGCATCGGGCTCCATTGCCAAAAAATGGACAGGGGGGCCCAATGCTCCGGGGCCCAAAACCACAAATATACGGAGCACTGGAGGAACCCAGCAACCCCATCAGGGTAGTGCCCAGGACACATTGTCCATCAGATCCCTCATCAGACAAACCAGAGGGAGCGCAGGGTTGGACATCTGCGCCTCCGCCAGAGCAGTACTAACTCCAGAGATGGGAGTTCAAATCATTCCCACAGGGGTGAAAGGACCTCTTCCCAAAGGAACAGTAGGCTTATTATTGGGACGCAGCTCTTCTACTCTAAAAGGACTTATGATAAGTCCTGGGGTAATTGATCCCGATTATGAAGGTGAAATAAAAATTATAGCCAGTTCTCCAAAGGGTATATCAGTAATTTCACCAGGAGATAGAATAGCACAGTTACTAATAATACCCAGCCTACATGATAAATTTTCCAGTTGTACTGTAGAAAGAGGTTCCAAGGGATTAGGCTCCACAGGTGTAGATTGAGCTATGCTTTCTTTAAATTTAGATTCTCGCCCCATGCTAAAACTAAATATTCAAGGACATGAATTTAATGGGCTACTGGATACAGGTGCAGACCTTAGCATCATCTCTCGTCAAGAATGGCCAAAACATTGGCCATTACAACAAGCCACTCAAACGCTTCGAGGCCTAGGAGTGGCAACTAATCCCCATAGAAGTGCAATGGTATTAGATTGGAAGGATCCTGAAGGATGTGAAGGAACTATACAGCCATATGTATTGGATCATCTTCCCGTAAATTTATGGGGACGAGATGTCCTAGATCAATTAGGTTTGACATTAACAAATAACATCAACCAAAATGCACCCACTATTATGACTAGACAAGGTTTTAGGAAAGGAAAAAGATTAGAAAAACAAGAACAAGGTATAGCAGCACCAATACAAATAGATCAAGGAACAGACAGACATGGGTTGGATTTTCAGAAAGGGCCACTGAGACAATAAAAATTACTTGGAAATCAGAAAGACCAGTATGGGTTCCTCAGTGGCCCCTGACTAAAGAAAAGATACAAGCAGCCCATGACCTGGTCAAACAACAATTAGCAGAAGGACATATACAACCTTCTGTATCTCCCCATAATACTCCCATTTTTGTCATCAAAAAGAAATCTGGTAAATGGAGATTATTGCAAGATTTAAGAGCCATTAATAATGAGATGGTTATTATGGGACCTGCTCAATCAGGGATTCCTCAGTTGTCTGCTTTGCCAAAAACCTGGTATGTTTTAGTTATAGATATTAAAGATTGGTTTTTTTTCAATTCCAATTCATCCTGAGGATAGTCCACGTTTTGCATTTACTATCCCTGCACTGAATCATGAAGGTCCTGATCAGAGATATGAATGGAAAGTACTCCCTCAAGGGATGGCTAACAGCCCAACTATGTGTCAAATTTATGTTAACAAAGTAATCCAGCCACTTAGAAATCAAAATCCTGAATTACAAATATTTCACTATATGGATGATGTATTATTAGCACACAAAGATAAAAACACATTGCTAGAATGTTATGCCACACTTACAAACTTATTAAAAAATTATAATCTAGAGATAGCAATAGATAAAGTACAATTAAATTTTCCAATTAATTATTTAGGAGTTCTATTATCCTCAACCATGGTCCGTCCACCAAAAATTCAAATACGAGTAGATCAACTCAAATCACTTAATGACTTTCAAAAGTTATTAGGAGACATAAATTGGATAAGGCCTTATTTAGGTATACCAACAGGAGAGTTGGGACCTTTATTTGATATCCTAAAAGGTCCATCAGATCCAAATTCACCCCGAATGTTAACGCCTGAAGCAAGAAAGGCATTAAAAATCATTGAAACATATATGGAAAATATGCATTTGGATAGAATTGATATAAGTTTGCCTTTATTATTTATTGTACTACCAACAAAAAATATTCCTACAGGAGTATTTTGGCAAGAAGGTCCATTATTATGGATACATTTATCTTATTCTCCTAACACTATTCTTACTAGGTATCCTGAGGCTGTAGGACAATTAATACTCAAAGGAATAAAAGCAGCAAAGGGAGTGTTTGGAATTTCTCCCAATAAAATTATTACTCCATATACTATGAATCAAATTGATGAGTTAGCTAATGAGTTAAATACTTGGGCAATAATCATGTGCAAATCTAATGTTTCATTTGATAACCACTTACCATCTAATCCTTTATTGTCTTTTTGGTCATTGCATCCTGTAATTTTTCCAAAAATGACAAGAAAAACACCTATCATGAATGCTCCAAATATATTCACTGATGGGTCAAATAATGGTACAGCAGCAGTCGTTACCCCTGATCAAACTTTTACATTTTTAGTACCCAAACAATCAGCTCAAAACGTAGAGCTTAATGCAGTTTTACAAGCTTTTGTGATGTTTAAAGATTCTGTATTTAATTTATTTTCTGATAGTCAGTATGTAGTTAATGCTATAGTATCTCTTGAAGATGCTGGTAGGATTTCCCCTTCTTCTACTGTTTTCTCTTTGCTTTCCACTATACAAAGTCTAATCTGGGACAGAAAAGATCCATTCTTTATAGGACATATCAGGGCACATACAGGATTGCCTGGAGCCCTTAGTTTGGGCAATGATTTAGCAGATAAAACTACACATGACATACATATTTTCTCTACACTAGAAGAAGCTATAAATTTTCATAAAAAGTTCCATGTCAATGCTAATACTTTACAAAAGCGTTTTAAAATAACTAAGGAACAAGCTAGACAAATAATAAAACAATGTCAAAATTGTGTGACCTTTTTACCACAAGTTAATCTTGGAGTCAATCCTAGAGGATTGATACCTAACCATATTTGGCAGATGGACGTCACACACTTGCCAGAATTTGGAAAATTAAAATATTTGCATGTTACAGTTGATACTTCTTCTGGATTTTTGATGGGCTCCCTTCATGCCGGAGAAAAAACTAAAGATGTTATAGCTCATTGCTTACAAAATTTTGCCACTGTGGGTGTTCCAAAACAGTTAAAAACAGATAATGCCCCTGGTTATACTTCTACCTCTTTTAAACAATTTTGCTCAACATTTGGCATTACTCATATAACAGGAATCCCATACAATCCACAGGGACAAGGCATAGTTGAAAGAGCTCATCAAACTATTAAAATGTACTTATTAAAGCAAAAAGAAGGAATTGGGAAGGGGTATATATTCCCCAAAGATAAACTTAAAATAACCCTTTTTACTCTAAACTTTTTAAATTTGGATTCATCAGGACTTAGTGCTGCGGAAAGGCATATGTGTCCAAAAAATGTACATAAGCCCAAGGTACTTTGGAAGGATATTCTAACAGGACAATGGAAAGGTCCTGACCCAGTAATTGTCTGGAGTCGGGGGTCTGTTTGTATGTTTCCACAGGGAGAACAGCAGCCGATTTGGATTCCAGAGAGATTAACCAAGGTCCTGACCCAGTGATTGTCTGGAGTCGGGGGTCTGTTTATGTGTTTCCACAGGGACAACAGCAGCCGATTTGGATTCCAGAAAGATTAACTAAAGCGATTTCTACAGACCAAAAAGAAGATGATTTGGCTCAAATCCATAACAACTGATATCCAAAACTCCAGTTTGGCTATTCTTACATCTGCAACAGAACCAGGATGCTTTTTTCAATATCTATTTTATTATTGCCCTTTGCCATATCATGAAGTTCTATTTTGTTTTTTGAGCTCATACAGATCTAGGTTAATGTTTTGCTGATCAGTTCTATTTTTTGACTATAGAGTTTTTAAACATTGCAATGGAGATTTCACCTGTAAAAAGTTATAAGGCCTTTACTATAATGTTATGTGTTGTATGTATTATATTATGTGTGCACACTTGTGTTTTGTGTTATATGTTTGAATGTACGTATGTCCATATATCATATATGATGAGCGCTCATGATAAAATGGATCCAAAATTTTTTTTTTTTCACGTGATTTATATGGTTTAATTTAAATTGGGTAAACAACTGTTGAGGATTGTTTTAATATGTAAACAAAAAAGAAGGTTAACAGATCTGTTTGTTTACTTTCACCTTTCCTTTTCATTATATTTAATAATTCTCTTAAAGATAATGTAAATTGTTAAGAAAATTGTTTTCTTTTAGTGCCTTCTGTAGTGTTACATAATTTTTTCTTTAGCCATTATTGCCAGAATTCCTATCTTCATCCCAGTGCCGGTGAAGACAATGTAAATTGTTAAGAAAATTGTTTTCTTTTAGTGCCTTCTGGAATGTTACATAATTTTTTCTTTAGCCATTATTGCCAGAATTCCTATCTTCATCCCAGTGCCGGTGAAGTCAAAGATAAAACCAATCTACAGCTTCTACAATAGCCATCACTGAACTGCTTGCAGAACTTGCCTGGACACATTGTGAGCTCACCTGTATGCATTGTGAACTATCTGTTGGTGCAGCGACTTGTGGTAGTGTTGGGGTATTTTTGCTGATGATGTCACCGGTGGTACAATTTTTCAAAGGAGCCCTCAATTGGCTTAATGTCATGGCATTTTGCATCCTCCTCTACTAGTGATGGTCTAAAATTTGGGGGCCAACAGAGGTGAGGCAAAGAACCTCACTCCCCCACAGGTGCAAAGGCCTATCCACAAGTATGGCTGTATGCTGGACCGGTAGTCAGTGACGGGTATGATCCAATTGCAGTGGTACCAACCTAAGACAGGAGGCTGACGCCTAGAGGTCAGTTCATCCGATGACGGGTAAGGACCATATGTTGAATTGGACTGCCTAACAGGCACGGTCCCTAAGCCACATGCTTGTTGTTTAAACAGAGAGGGGGAGATGTTGAGAGCCACAGCCAAAGGGGCCCCAGCAAACTTCCAGCTGCCAGCAAACTTCCAGCTGCTGGCTGATGATTGGCTCACAGCGGCCCCAGCAACATCTAGCTGATTGGCTCCTCGGCCCCAGCAACATCTAGCTGATTGGCTCCTCTGCGGTGATGCTCATTGGGCTGTTTCCCTGCCCTTTCAGACCACGGAGCTGCTCATTGGGGGACTTTTTTGGCTCCGCCCACGTGACCCAGCCAATCGGCCTCAAGAGCAGGAGGATTGTGGGAGGTGGAGAGAAGCTTGTGTGGGAGAGAGAGGCTTGTGGAAAGCCGGTGGTGGCAGTTGAGGCTCTGAGGGTTTTTCCTGAGAGGCTGTTTTGTTTGGCGTGTGTGGTTCTAAAAATAAAGTTAGTTTCTTTTGACAAGTGGCTCCTGATTGTGCCCAGCCAGACTGCGGCAGTCTTCCAGGTTTTATTCTTCCAGAGAATTTGAAAATAATTATCAAGTCTCCAAACATAAACAAAGACATAATCTCTATGGGGTCTCTGATCAGAGTCACATTAAATTTAAATTTAATTTAGAAACAACTAAACTTTTTATATCATGAATATTCCCTTAAATGAATAAATACTTTTCTACATATATGCAAAGCCAACAGACTGTTATATTTCTTCCTATTTTTTATTGTATTTTTCTCTATTAGTTTTTCTGATTGAAAAAGTTATTAATTTTGATATTAATTTTGAAACTGGTCACTTTATTAAATTCCCCTAGATCACAATAGTTTCCTAATTGCTTCTCCTGAATTTTCCAGGTATCACCTGAGAATAATACTTTTGGTTCCTCTTTTCCAATATTTATTACTGCTTATTTTATCCTCTTATCCAACTGTACTGGCTTAACACATTTAGAAAAATCTTCAATAACAATCCTATTAGTATTAATAGGAATAATGAGTGTCTTTGCCATACCTCTCTTCAATTAATTATTTTAGTTTTGTTATTAAGACTAATGCTACTGGTCTTTTCAGGTTAAGTACAAATTTATGTATTTATATTTATTCAGTACTTTAAACAAATTCTATCAAATTGACTGTATCATCCTCTCATTTATTAACAGATTTTCTAGTTTTGAAACATCCTTGCATTCCTGAAACGAACCTCATTTGGCTAAGATATATTTATTCATTTACTGATATGCTAGACTCCATTTGTTAATGTTTTAATTTAGGGTTTCTGCAATGATGTAATACTCACCTGATACTTTAATACATCCACATTATAATATGAAGCAGCTGGATTTTGCTCTGATAGCTTCTTGAGGTAGATGGTAACAGCTTGCATGTTCATCCAAAAATCTTTTGTGTTGGAATCACACTGTGATGGATCACTATATGCATAAGAAACATTTTTGTTATTTTATTTGACTTATCTTTTTCCTTTGCCTCTATGTAATAATTTGATAAATAATTCTCTAAGACTAGTAGAAATGAACCCAAAGATGGGTTCATTCATCCTCTCAGATTAGAGGATGAAGAACAAACACAGGAGAAGGTTGCCTGAAAAATAAGATGGAATGAAACAAAAAGTTTTAAAAATAACTGTCATTAGTTCAAAAACAAAATAAAACCACAGAGACTGTTTAATAATAGTAAATAATTTTGGTATTGTCCTCAAATTAAATATTAATTTCTTATAAACATTTCTTTCAAAGAAACTTCAACCTTCAAAACAAACATACACAAACCTGAACACAAGTTGTGCATTTGGAAGAATCTGCTCAAGTCTGCTGATATTTTTCACCCTGAAGCACAGCACAGCAGGAGAGGGATTGCTAGTGAAGACTTTAATAATTCCACTTGGAAATGATATAGTTACATCACCAGTGATCTTCACAATACATCTGAAATTGGGAACGTTGGTAAGTGCTAAAATAAGATACTTTAATTTCTAATTAAAGCATGTTTGGTTTAAAAAAACATACATGTATGTGTATATACATGTGTGACAATGTGTACATATATATATCTTTTATCATAATTATGGATGAATTATTTCTTCAATTTAATTATAAAAATGATTCTAGGAGAAACAGAACACTCATCTAGCATCATCTTTTCCTAGAATTAAACTTCAAACACAAATGTAAGCACACTAATAACGTTTCTTTACCATCCCCTGAACTACCTTAAGGGCACTACCTCCCTGGGAATACTACCCCTAGTTGTAGCCATGTTCCCCTCTTAGACCCATAAAGCACTGGACCTGATGGTGTTATTGGTACATGTCCCTCCTGCTCCTCGTTGCCCTCTATTTCTTCTTTCTTTGAAACTTGTGCATCAGACTATAGCACTCACTACCCCTTTCCCTTTCAAGTTGTATTCCAAACTCCCTCCCTTTCATGCCCTGAAAATCTGAGCTTCTGGCTCACTCTCAATCTTGTCTCATAATTTTAATGATTTCAGTATCCACCTAGATGGTGCTTTCAATATTTTTTGTCACCAAGTTCTTCAGTCCTTTACTTCCAATGATCCTTTCAGCCTACTTCAGCCATGAGCAGCCCCTCCAAAATCTCAAATTCACACTCCCCACTACCTACTTCCTACTTAGTATTTTTCAAACTCATTCTGACTAATACTACATCTTCAAAAATTCCCCAGCCTCATTCAAACCTCCATAACCCACTATTCCTAAACCTTTTTCACTAATCTCTACTCACCCTTTATGTCTTCATTTCCTCCTATCTTTGGAATTCTAGGTCCATCATAAGATACTCTTCTTTGCACAAACCCTCCCTTGTTCTTCTTTCACTGTGACTGCTTGGTCAAATAAAGAGTTTGGGCTAAATCTAGCTCCTTATCCACATCTGTACAGCTGAATGTGACAACAGAAAAACATATCACCACCTAACCAAAACTCTGAACTGGTACCCCTGGATGTTACCTGATAATTCTAAAACATGCCCTCATCTAGTCACTCTTGTCGTACTTTCTTTTTCCCCCTAAATTGTAATATCCCCTTTCCCTCTAATCTCAGCTGATGACTTTGCTTTTAATTTTACTGAAGAAATAAATCAGAAAAGAACTTCCTCACACTTTCACTACTAAACTCCTAATCTATCTGTATCTTATGCCTTCTCTCCTTTTTCAACAGATTTCTGCACCTAAGGTCAATTACACTGACTGACTGGAACTTATCAACTTTTACATACCAAAGGATCTCACTCTCACTGCATTGTCTATTCTCTTTTCTCCACAAATACGGGGTTTTTCTCATCTGTATACAGACATGCTGGGATATCTATATTTAAAGTTTATATACAGATATATAAACTTTATGTATAGTATATAAACTTTAAATAAATGTTTATATAAAGATTATTTATATAAACTTTTAAATAAATTAACAAAAACTAAAATAAATAAAACCCTCCTCTGATTCAGCTATTTTGCTCCTGCCATCATTCCACTTCTCTGCCTCCCCTTAGAGCAAAACATCCAAATAATTATCTATATTTTTTTCTTTAGAGTTTAAATCTGCATCATCTCCTGCTCCAACACTCTCCTGCAAACAGGCTTACTTCCACATGCACCACTAAAACTGCTCCTGCGAAAGCCACCAATGACCTTTACACTGCTAATAGCCAAATTATGACCTGCTGACAGCATCACATATAGCTGCGTATCTTTCTTCAAGAAATGATTATTCATTTAGTATCTTCATCACTGTAATGGTTCTCTCCTCTTTTCTCTTGCTGCCTGCTGTCTAAATTCCTTTGCTAGATCATTCTTGTCTTAACTGTTTTCAATCCTGTAGGAGATCAGGACTTAGTTCTCTAATCACTTTTCTATCCACTCCTTTAAGGTGCCTGGCTAAGTATTATAACAAGCACTTCAAATTTAGCATTCTACTACCTCAGCAAACCTTGAAAACTATTTTCAAAATACATTCAGAGTCTCATGTCTACTCACCACCTTGTTTCTAACATCCTTGCTCAAGCCACCATCATTTCTCACCTGGACTTCTGTAGTTAGCCTCCTAACTCATTCTCCCTCAATCTATTCTGGTTCCCTCCAGTTTATTCTCTATAGAGCAGCTAGAATACTCCTTCAAAATGTTAATAGCAATTTCATCATTCTTCCATTCAAAACCTTCTTGGCTTCTCATCTCATTCAAAATGAATTCCAAATTCTCTATCATGGGCCCACAAGGCCCAACCTGATTTGTTACTTCGCTGGTTGCATCTTCAACTACTCTCCCCCTTGTTTACTTCTACTTAGTGACATGGTTCTCCTTGCTATTTCCTGAGTATACCAAGCATGCTTTTACCCAGACCCTTTCACTTGCTGTTTCCCTCTTCCTAGAATGATATTCCTCCAGATATCTGCATGGCTTACTTCTATTTTTCAAATATCTGCTTAAATTAATCTCAGAAAGGTTTCCCCTGGTCAATGGATCTAAAATAGTACCCTTTCACTGCTATTCTCCACCCTCTTACCCAGGTTTATTTTTCTTCACAGCATATATCAATACCTAAACATATAGTTTTTCCTTGATAAATGATGCAAGCTCAGCAGAGAACATTGTTTTGTTTACTAAAGTATCCTTAGCATTTATCAGAGTCATACACAAGTGCTTAATTATGACTTTCTTAAAAGTAAGATGCTAAGCCAATTCTGCAAAAGTCTCATATGAAACATGCATTCTAGGTCTCTCTAGGAAATGCCATTCTTTCACCAAAGATACACCATCAGCCATACTAGTCAAACAGTAAATAAAATACAGTGAAGCCATCATTTATTACTGACTATAATGATTTTTTTAAATTTGAAAGGTAATACTGAAATTAGAAGGCAAAATGTAAATAAATCAACAAAGGCCCTAACCTACAAAAACTCCAAGAAAAACACTTAAAATTCAGCATAAATCCCATCCTGACCCCAAATACACACACAGACAAACACATGCAGGAGTATTTAAAAAATTAACCTGGTGGGATCTGCTCCTTTAAAATACGCATTTACAGACTCTGTAAGGGCAATTGCCACAGGTAAAGTGTCCTGATTTCCAAGGCTGACAGGGCTGGGACCCCGTGACACACCTAGAATACATAGAAAAACATTTGTTAAATCTTTCAGGAAGACATATATTAAAAACCAAGACAGTCAGATTCACAATGTTAGGTTGTCACAAGTGACCCTATAATTGGTTTTAATGATGCCCCAAAGAGAAATCGAGTGGTTAAAAATATAGCATAAACAAATTGTAATGTAATACAAAGAAAAGAAGAAAGGAAATCAAGTTCCACTGAATGTATATATCATATTTTGCTATCTATTTATCTGTCAGTGGACAGCTGGATTGTTTCCATCTTTTGGCCACTGTAATAAGTGCTGCTACGAACATGAGAATAAAAAACTCTCTTTAGGATTCTGCTTTCAATTCTTTTGGGCATTTATTCAGAAGTGGAATTGCTGTATCATAAGGTAATTCTACGTTTAATTTTTGAGAAATAGCCGTACTGTTTTCCACAGCAGCTGTACCATTTTATATTCTTAATAGTGCTCAAGAGGTCTCAATTTTCTCTATATCCTCGCTAACAAGATAGACAGCAAGCTCTCTACCACTGAGCTATACCTCCAGTCCCATAACCTTTTCTTTTTTAATTAAGGAAAATTACACAGTTGACCCTCCATATGAAGATTCTACATTTGTGGATTCAACCATGGACTGAAAATATTTGGAAAAAAAATTGTCTAATGAACACTTATTTTTTTCCTTATAATTATTCCCTAAATAATACAGTATAACAACTATCTACATAGGATTTATACTGTATAATGTATTATAAGTAATCTAAACATGATTTAAAGTATACAGGAGTGTATGTGCAAACATTATTGCATTTTATACAAGGGACTTGAACATCCATGGATTTTGTTATCTTAGGAAGTCCTAAAAACTAATTCCCTGTGGATACTAAGGGCTCCCTGTTTTAAATATGGAATTGATATTTCTCCTTGAGTAACTCACACAAATGGATATTTACACATAGTCAAGGGTAACATTAATAATGTCTGCTACTACTTTGACTATGAAAATCTAAAGAAACCTACAAAGGTTGGGGATGTAGCATAGTGGTAGAGTGCATGTCTAGCATACAAGAGGACCTAGGAAAAAAAGTGGGATAGAAAAAGGGAGGAAGAAGGAAAGACAGGAAGAGGAGAGACAGAGGGAAAGAGAAATCTTCAAAGTTAGTTATTCTTTCAATCCTCTAATTTGGGCAAATAATATGAAAATTCTTAAAATGGCTTCCCTGTAAACTGTTATGCTTGTTACTGAAATACTACCAAGTAAAGTTTTGGAAAGTAAGAAAAATACTCAAAAATCTACTTAACATTTGGCGGATCCACGTTTTATCTTCTAATTTTGTTAACCTTTCAAATCCATATTGCATAAGCATACTTTCAAAAAAATTAATTTACATATGAAATATTTATTAAAGTCCCTAGAAAAATCTCTAAATTTATACTATATTAATCTAAATAAATAATTTTTAAGAAATGAAATATTCTTTGTATCCTTAATAAGAACATTTTTATTTCCAATTCTGGCTTAAGTCTGTAATATTTAGACAATTGCATGCTTTGAAAATCCAGAGAGCTTATAAATTTGAGGTAAAGGGCACATGGTATCTTCCTGTAACAATGGGTGCTTATGTGTAATTCCTTTCAACTTAGGAGTAAAAATCAGAGGCTCACTCCCAATTATCTCCTACTTATGTTTTCCCAACTTCAACTATCCATGTTTTTCTTATAACAGCCTTTGCTCTAGTAGTTTAAGTATTATAATTTTTTAAGCTGATACATTCTTTGTGCTTCTTTTCTAATCATTTTTTCCCCTAATTCTGACAGCTTTAGAATTCAGATTTAATGATGCTTCTTTTTTATTTTTGATACTTCTGAATGCTGAGGCAAGGAGAAAGAAATGAAAGAAAATGCAAAAATAGTTATCTTTGATAATTGCAGATTGATATCAATGGATCTTGTACAGTAACTAGACACAATTAGCACAAATTTGAGATAGTTAATCTTAGTATTATTCTCAATTTCTGAGATACCATACACTGCTGGAAAAGGAAAAATTAGGTAACAAAGTATTTTAGATACACTTTAGAATCATTAGTCAACACATATATTTGCTTCTGATACAATACCTGGTGATGTCTCACAGTGCTTTTCAATTTCAGAGAGTGTCCCAATCAAATTATCATCTTCTATCATATTTAAATAAAACAAAATATTGCAGGAAAATATTTTCAAGAAACAAGAAGAATCAAAACTTAAAATCTAAACAGAGAGCTGAAAAAGCATCATGACAAAGAAGACTTCATAGATTTAGATTTAAAGACCTCTGTTGTACAAAGGTGGCATATCCACCTGCCTTGCCTGAATCAACACTATCACCAACTTGGGGTTCTCCTGTTGCCAACACTAGCTGAAATCATAAATATGACTTACTCAATAAAAAATTAACCTGAAATATCCATCAGAAATAGAAAATCTTCTAAATAATCTAGATAATGTGAAAGAATTAAAGCTTATTTTGGCTACCCAGACTACCTGCCTGATTTTTTTCTTTTTTCCTCCACGTACAGATTTTATATGTAAACTTTTTTGTTTTAATTAAAATTTTACTTGTGCATTTTAACTGTAAAGAAAAAAGAATTTTGGATCTGGGGTTGTGCCTCAGTGGGTTCAATTCTCAGGATCACATATAAATAAATAAAATAAAGATCCATTGACAACTAAAAAAATATTTTAAAAAATAATAATGAATTTCATTGTGGTATATTCAAACATGCTTATAACATATTTATCATTTCTACTCCACTATTACCCTGCTCTCTTTCATTCCCTTCCTTTTCTCTAGTAGTCTTCCTGTTACTTTCATGTTGTCTTTTTTCCTCACTAGATTCCACATAGTAGGGGGCTGGGATTGTGGCTCAGCGGTAGAGTGCTCGTCTAGCACATGTGAGGACCTGGGTTCGATCCTCAGCACCACATAAAAATAAATAAACAAAATAAAGATTCCACATAGTGGGAAAACAGGCAATAGTTGTATTTCGGAGGTTAGCTTATTTCACTTCAACATGATGCTCTCCGGTTCCATCCATTTTCCTGCAAATAACATGATTTCATTCTTCTTTATGGGTGAATAATACTCCTTTGTGTATATGCATCACATTTTCTTTATCCATTTATTTACTGATGGGCACCCAGGCTGATTCCATAAGTTGGCTATTGTGAATTGTGCTGTGAAAAATATAGATATGTAGGCATGTCTATAGTTAACTTTGATTCCTTTGGATATATACTTGCGGTTGGTTTAGCTGGGTTTTTATAGCTTCCTAATTTCTAGTAGGGTGTGTTGTGTGTGTGTGTGTGTGTGTAGTTTTTAATAGAATCTGCAGGAAGCAAAATTAACAAGACCACATATACAAACAAAAATAAAAATGTTCATTATTATCTAATAAGCTTGTCTTTTTAGATAATAAGAAGACAAGCTTATTAGATATATTCAATTTACATGAATCTGAAAGATGGGAAAATGCTATATATGAAGGTATATAAGGTGGTCACATGTTTAGGCATTTAGAAATCAAAACATTTCATATTTCCTTCTAGCCTATATTACTTATGCTATATTTATAATGGCCACACAGATAAGATACATTACTCTTAAGTAAATTTTGACAAATTAAACTGAATACAATTAAATCAGCTTAATTAAAACTGTCATTCTCAAACTTTAGCATTATAAAAATCATTTGGAAGGGCTGTAAAAAGTTTGGTACCCTCACTTCTAGACTGTCTGATTTTTAAAAGTCTGCATTTCTACTAAGTACGGAGGTACAAATGCTGCAGGTCCAACAACTACACTTTGAGCGCTATTGAATTGGTGCTCGTTTAGTGTACTTCAGGTGTTGCTCTTGAAACACAATTGATGTGGCTTTGCGCTTTGCTTATTACATTGAGAAAAGAATCTGTAGGAAGAACTAAGTAAAGATAATGACAGAAAAATTCTTGAGCAAAATATTCTAGAGCTAGTAAAACACTGGATTTGTTCAATGAGGTTTAGGCTTATAGTTCATATAATAGCTATTTTTAAATCTTTATGATTTAAATTCATATAAAAAATATAATTCATTGAAAGCCCAAAACCCTTTTCTTTCACTGAACCAATTGTTTTCAGAACACAATTGTTATTTTTGGGGGGGAGTACTGGGGCTCAAACCCAGTGGCACTTAACCACTGAGCTATATCCCCAGCCCTTTTTATTTTTTATTCTGAGACAGGGCCTTGCTAAATTGCTAAGGTTGGCTTTGATCTTATGATCCTCTTGCCTCGGCCTCCTGAGCCCCTGGGATTACAATTACGTGCCACCACGCCTAGCAGAACCCAATTGTTTTTAAAACACAAACTTTCTTAAGAATGCATCTACCTATCTGGGGCACAGTGGTGCACACCAGCTACTTGGGAAGCTGAAGCAGAAGGATCACAAGTTCCAGGCCAGCTTGAGCAACATAGTTAGACCCTGTCTTAGAATAATAAATAAAGGGGTCTATGGATGTAGCTTACTGTTAAGTGTCCCTGGGTTCAATCACCAGTACCAAAACAAAAAATAAAAGAATGCAATTATTAGTTCATGGTTGAAAGCATACCATTATATTTGCCTTCAACTATTTATATTGACCAGCACTTTATACATCTGATTTTTTCTTAAAATTACTTGGGAGTAAATCCAGGGGACCTCTGACACTAAGCTACATATCCGGTCCTTTTTATTTTTATTTTGAGATAGGGCCTTGCTAAATTGCTGGAGTTGGTCTTGAACCTGCCATTCTCCTGCCTCCACCTCTGGAGTAGCTGGGATTACACGTACAGATTGACTCATCCTTAATAGTGCTAGCCACAGTTAAAATTCTCCTATACACAATAAAGACTGAAATACAAAAGGAAACATGAACAGTTTGACAATGTTAGGTATGTTTCCTAAAAAATATTTCTATTATTAAATTCTTCAGTAGCCCATTAAAAATATATATGTATGTTATACATGTATATATAAAATAGTGTTCATCCTTCATATGCTAAATTTCATAATCAACAATGACCACTTACCTACTGTTGGAGTATTGGCAGCACTCAATGAAGTAGATGATGAGATAGAGGAAGAACTTTCTGCCCGGGCTAAAGGAGCAGCAGGAGGTGGGCTGGTATTGGAAGTTACAGGTGGACTGAATGGCCTGGGCTTAAAAACAAAAAGTTATTTATCAAAATGCTAAAACAATTCTTTCCTTGTCAGAGAAGATTTTTAAGTATCAGATAATTTTAATATACCAAGCCAAATTTATTGTTTCTTGTAATTCAAAATCAGAGATGCCATATGTCAAATCATTTTTAAGAATATACTGAAAGCTGAAGAGGCTGTTATTAAAATAATGCTATTAAAAATATCTTTGTGCATAAAATATCCTGTATGTCAAAAACTGTGCTTAATAAAGATTCTCAGAAGTCAGAATTACTAGTTTAAACAATATGAAGGCTCTTCATATATACTACCAAACTGCTTCCCAAAAGGGTTATTCACTTTACCCTACTATCCAATACATGTCAGATTATTTCTCCAGTACCCTTAGCAATGAATGGATGACTCATAGAAGAAGGAAAAATAATAATTAAAATGACTTTTTAGTTAATTTTTATTGTTTGTTTTTGGAGACAAGGTCTTACTAAGTTTCCCTAACTGGCCTTGAACTTATGATCCTCCTGCCTCTGCTTTCTTGAATTACAGGAATTACAGGTATACACCATCATGCTTGGCTTTCTAATTAATTTGGTAGGTAAAAACAGAATATGAATTTTCAGTTTTAAGAATAATGTGATGTGAACTTTGGTGTGTGTAAAGGGGAATCAGGGAAGGGGTGGGGATGGGAAGGATGGTAGAAAGAAACAGACATTTTTACCCTATATACATGTATGATTACACTAGTGGAATGACTCTGAACCATGTACAGCCAGAGGAATGAGAAGTTGTGCTCCTTTTGTGTACTGTATGTCAAAATACATTCTATTGTAAAATAAATTAATTTTAAAAAAAGAATAATGTGATGAGGTTTTGGTTTAGTATTACCTGAACTTTCACTAATCCTTTGCCTTACTTGTTACAAATATTTCCCTCCATTAACATTGCTTCCCCTTTATTTTTGATGTTTACAAATTTGTCCATATTTTACTTTGTAATTCCTTGTAATGCTTCCTCATTTAGAAAGTATTTCCCTCATGAGTTTGAGAAAACCTTAATTCTGTTGTCTTTGTACTTTTCTAGTTAAACATAAAAACAAACAAGGAAAATATATCTCCAACTTATTTGTCTTTTACTTGGGTGAATGGACTTTTTCTTTCCAAATTCCTAATTGCTCCAATAACACATTAGCAACATTTCCTAAGGTATTTCCTTTTTCAAAAAAATAGGTATATTCAGCTTAATTAAAAATAATTAAGGAGATCAGGTAGGGAGCAGTGGCACACACTTTTAATCCCAGCTACTTGGAGGCTGAGGACAATTGTGAGTTCAAAGCCAGCCTCAGCAATGGTGAAGCACTAAGCAACTCTCTACATAAAATATAAAATAGGCCCAGGGATGTGGCTCAGTGGTTAAGTGCCCCTGAGTTCAATCCCTGGTACCCCCTCCCCCACCAAAAAAAAAAAAAAAAAGATCAGTAGAAAAAGGAAAAAATGCGGTAGGAGGAGTGGAGATAAGGGGGAAGTGCTGGGGAGTAATATTGGCCAAATTATATGGTTATATTTTATGTATGAATGAATACGTAACAACAAATCATTATGTACAACTATAATGCACCAATAAAAAAGGTAGAAAGAAAAAAATAGATTTTTAAAAAATGCATTTTCTTGCTTATAAAGACAACAAATATTTATTTAGTGCCTACTACATGGCAGGCCCTGGATTAGGTACCAGGTACAAAGCTGTGAACAAGAAAGATACTTTCCTCACAGCCCTATCTATAAGTGTTCATACACTAAATCGGTCAACTCTTCATTATATTAATAAAAACATATGGATATGCTATAAACTATTAGGTTTTACTATACAAAAGTTTATAATTTGTAATCCTCTCCTGCCCATTTAACTATTTTTAAACTATTATTTTTTCCTAGAGTATAGCTTTCTGATGACTCCCGATTATGGACATCACATTGAAAACAACCAGTAAGATCATAAATATGCAGCTATATCTTTATACAGATAAAGATGATACAGGAAATGGGGCTGAACAGACACTGAATTCAATAGCTGGTCTGAAACTAAAAACCTTGGAAAAAGACTTCAGATCAGCTACAGCAGGGAATAGTTTTATGGCAACATGGCTTCATGATCAATGATGTGGCTGCATTTTTAAGAGCATTTTACAATTCTTAAGGAAAAGGCAAAAACAGCTCTTTTCTGAAGTGGTTTTCTCTTATTTTTAGAATGCTATTATGATGTAGTAGTCAATAGCATTTGAAATGTGGCTAGTCCAAACTGAAATGTGATATAAAGTATAAAATACAGAGTACACTTCAAAGATTTAACATACACACAAAAAAGTAAAAATTTTAATTATTTTTATTCTGAATACATATTAAAATGTAACGATAAGCTAAATAAAGCAAAACATCAAAATATCACTGTTCTTTTTTAATACAGCTACTAGAAAATTATACATGTTACTTTAAAACAGTATACATTAGTGTACATCAGAATCACTTGGAGCCCTTTTTAATGCACAATTTCTGGGCCCCTCTCAGAGATACTATTTCCACTAAGTTCCTGGATATGGCTATGCTACTAGTCTGATACCCTGCTTTGAGCATCATTCCTCTAGAACAATGAAGATGCTATCTGATGGACCACACAGCAATAAATATCAAGAGTCTTAAAAAATGTGCATACCATTTAGTTCATAAACTTCATTTTAAAAATTTGTTTACTAAGAAAATAGAGAATGTCTGCAAAGAAGCAAACATAAAGATATTAATTAAGACATTGTTATAAGGAAAACTTGGCAGCTTGTATCTAATATTTCATTTCATTTCTAGTAAGTCAATTCACTGGGATAGGAGTAAAAGAAAAATGTCATCATTTCAATACATGGTGTTCAAGCCTTTTCATTTATTCGATGAATATTTCCTAAATATTTCCTGTACCATGTGACAGGCATTTGCAAAAATCAAGGACATGAAATTGGCTAAGGTATAGTCCAGTAAGGGAAACACACACTAAGTCTACATAATGTGATATGTGTATTAATAGAAATATAAGCAAAGTATATAAGCAATAGAATGATTAAATATGATGGAATGATCAAAAACTAGGTGGTGATATTTAGCTGGGTCTTAAAGAGAGAGGCTAACTTGCTACTAAGAAAACTGAGATATGAAAAATTGTGCTCTATATATGTAATAAGAATTGTAATGCATTCTGCTGTCATATATAAATAAAAAATTTACATAAAAATTAAATTTCCAAAAAACTGTATAAACAGAATATGAAGAATATCACTTATTATAAAACATTTATGAAAAGCTAATTTTAGGGTTCTAAAAAGTTTGCTATGTTCATATATGGAATTCTGCCAATATACTTATAATGCACTAATTAAAATAATAATGATTATGATGATGATGATAATAATAATAAAAGGGATAACAATAGAGGAAGCAGATCAGGGGGAGGGAAGAGGGCAGTGAAAGAGAAAAATGGGGAAATGAGACTGACCAAATTATGTTATGTATATGTACAAACATGGCATAATGAATTCCACTATTATGTATAATTATAATGTATCAATAAAAAATTTTCAAGAACTTAAAAAAAAACTGAGGAGTGCTTTAAATAGAAGAAGCACAATAAGAAAACATGAATGTATAAAAGAGCATGATGTAGCTTAGTGGTAGAGTGCGTGCTAGCATGCACTGGATTCAATCCCCAGCACGAATTTTTTTTAAAAAAGCATGATGTGTTTGGAGAACACTGGAAAGTTTCAAGTGGCTGGAACCTAGGCTAGAATAAGAGGAGAAAGTGGGACAGTTAGTCTGGTGATGCAGGTTGCTAACACAACTTTATGAAGAGTCTTGAACATTCAGCTAAAACATCCAACCACGTGTATTATGAGGTACCAATGGAGATGAATACCAAAGGAAAAAAATAAAGTTTGACTTTTAGAAAATTAATCCTGGCAATTAGTACAGAAGACGAGGCAAAATGAAATGGAGGCAAGAAGGCTGGTTTGGGATACCCTCACTATAAATATAGCCCACAAATTTTTCCCATTATCAAATGACTTTTCAAGACCATATTCCCCACCATACACTTTTAAGTCAATTAACTGATAGAGACACCAGTTCTCTATGAATAAAATAAAGAAGGTGAACTAGATGCCCTCTAGGACCTGGAAGTATAATTCTAAGGTCTTAAGAACACACCACCATTACTTCCTTATATTTGACTTTAAACAGAACTATGTGAAAATTGCTTCTTTATTGTGAGACAACAGGTTCCAAATGGTGTTTTCATATTGTTGAGACTATAAGGGAGAGTGAAGGAAGTATTGGTTGGGGGAATTTTTCTATATTTGTAGGAGCTGAGTAGAAAAGTATTTAAATGTACAGGGGCATACAGAAAAATATCATTTGCATCTTAAATCAAAACAGTTATATAATTAAAAAAAAACACCTGAGTACATACTATTTCATTAATCCCACTGAGTTTGCCTGAAGTAAGCTTTGGTCTGGAAGCAGGCCTTGGAGGTGGGACAATGGTGCCTACAGAAAGAGGAGTTGTGGGCCTGGCTGGTGAGGGGAAAAAGAGAATTTGAAGAAAATCATTAGTATGTAGCAATCTTTATATAAAGACACTCTATTATAAAGGAACTGTTAGGATTCAAAACTCATTTTCTATGTTTTTTCAAAATGTAATTATAGGTTTTGTTGAAATAATGGGAATCTATCAAATATGCTTTTTTTTTGAAGCTACCAACAATATTCCTGAGAAAACAATCATTTATTAACCTTTCAACAAAATTGACATGCATGTAAATGTCATTCCTTTTTCAATTATTTATTTATATGTATATAAATTAAATCTGATAAACTGATGAAAATAAACCCTTTAAGGCCAGACATCATTATTACCAATATATCTACTTTATAGATAGTAAATCAAAACCAAGCCTTTGTAGCTGTGCTTCAGAATAATAATGTGAACTCCAAATAAAACACTTACCTTAATTAAACTTATTAATTCACTTTTAAGTGGAACCACATGGTAACATTTTTAAGAATTAAAAGCATTAAAAATATTCTATTAATTTGCTGAAATTATTTGCTTAAATCACTTCAGTTAATTTTGAAGTTTATAGTATCATTTCTTAAATCTTACACAAATTTAATGTTCAGTTTTGTAATACCACTAGCAAATTTTACAATTTTTTAAAATCTGCATTCCTAATTTTAAAAACTCTTATCACAGTATAAATTACTGAATGAAATTGAAAAATGTACATCACCAAGTCACAAATGAATTAGCATAATCAAAGTAGAAATGAAGATGGAGAAAAATATGCTTAAATTATTTTTAAATAAATATGCTTAAATTATTTTTAAATAAAATAACTTTTAAACTTTCTTGGTTCAATCTAAAATATGTGTTATAATTCAGAGATTGAAAGATATAAAAGGGAGAAAAGAAATATATTCATCAAGTTCTAAAAATTTACAAATGTACAAAATTTAAAACATATAAATGGTCCTAAATGTATACATGGAGAAACAAAGAGTAAAGTTGAAGGCTCTTGATTAACAATGGAGGAATGCAGGAATGAATGGGAGGGGCATACAGGTTGTAAAAAGAAATTTAAAGAAAAAGATAAAGTTACAGAATTGTAAGTAAATGCATGGGAATAAGGAATCATATAGAAAGTGCATCACCATAAAGGGATAAAAGATATAAAATTCAGGTCGTTTGAGGAAAACAGTAGAAAGTTAAAAAAGAAATCAAGCCTAGATTCGGGGGCTGCTGCCTTCTTCCAGTTAGTACTAGTTCTTTCATGCTGTACTCATACTGTAAGATGTTCACTATAAGAAACGTGCAACAACCTGAGTACCATAGTACTTCCCTATGCTATGACGTATCTCCTTTAACGATATGCTCATTATCCAGAATGGCAGCTATTATGAAGACAAACAATAAGTGTTGACGAGGATGTGGGGAAAAAGGTACACTCATACATTGGTGGTGGGACTGCAAATTGGTGCAGCCAATATGCAAAGCAATATGGAGATTCCTGGGAAATCTGAGAATGGAACCACCATTTGACCCAGCTATCCCTCTCCTCAGTCTATACCCAAAGGACTTAAAAACAGCATATTTCAGGGACACAGCCACATGAATGTTTATAGCAGCACAATTCACAATGACTAAACTGTGGAGCCAACCTAGATACCCTTCAGTAGATGAATGGATAAAAAAATGTGGCATATATACACAATGGAATTTTACTCAGCAATAAAAGAGAACAAAATCATGGCATTTGCAGGTAAATGGATGGCATTGGAGAAGACAATGTTAAGTGAAGTTAGCCAATCCCAAAAAAACAAATGCCGAATGTTTTCTCTGATATAAGAATGCTGACTCATAGGGGTTAGGGAGAGGGAGCATGGGAGGAATAGATGAATTCTAGATAGGCAGAGGAGTGGGAGGGAAAGGGAAGGGGCAGGGGATTAGCAAGGTTGGTGGAATGTGATAGACATCATTATCCAAAGTACATGTATGAAGACATGAATTGGTGTCAACATACTTTATATACATACTTTATATGAAAAACGGTGCTGTATACATGTAATAAGGATTGCAATGCATTCTGCTGTCATTTTTTAAAAAATCAATAAATATATATATATATATAATATATATATATAATATATATATATGCTCATTATCAATGACACTAGCACTGACCCATATGCCTATGTTATTTCAAGCTTGTGAGACAGTTTAACACAATAGAGGCATTTATACCTGAAGCTTCACTACTACTGATCAGAAGGCCTGTCCAAAGGCTCAAACCAAGCCTCCTGGTAAAAGAGTAAAGTTTAGTTCCTCCAAACAATCAAAATCGAAGCTTTTTTTTTCTTTCTTTCTTTTTTTGGTCCCAGAGATTGAATCCAGGGGTACTTAACCACTGAGCCACATACTTGGCCCTTTTTAATATTTTATTTAGAGACAGGGTCTTGCAGAGTTGCTTAGAGCCTCACTAAGTTGCTGAGGCTGGCTTTTGAACTTGTGATCCTCCTGCCTCAGCTTCCTGAACTGCTGGGATTATAGAAGTGCACCACAGGGCTCAGCCAATTCTGGCTTTTTGAGGAAAGCTAACAATTAGGTAGCCTCAGAAGGAGATTAATAACAACTGCTTACATTTTTAGGTGTTCTAACTGTACTTTGTTTTTTACTAGTGGATCTTATGGCTATAAATATCTATTTGATGTATTTTTTCAAGGAATAGGAAGTTACTATCTATAAAGTAAAAAAGACAACAGCATTAAGAGCTAAACCATATCTGCTCTCACATAAGGGAATAGACAACACATGTTTGTCAGATCATTCTTTATCTGAACAAAGCAGTAACTAATTTAGAGTCTAGCAGCAATGTTAATGATGTAGGAAATGATGACATCATTGTTAGCTTCTACTGTCAGTATTTTTCAGGACATGTAATATTATGGCAGAGTTCACTCTGATTTTCAGAGATGCTTCTGTTGGAAGACATGCCATCCGAAGAATTGGGGAATCTGAAAGTACTTTCAGCTTTACAATGCACTCTCTGGAAGCGTTGTTACTTTAGGATAAAAGAGATAATTAGGGGGAAAATCTGGTGATGGACTTTTCTAGACCCAGAATCTGACCTGGTTTCAACTAAATTTTCAGTTATTACATACCTAGGTATATCAGTGGAAAAGAAAGTGAGTTCTTATTCTTTTCTTTATGGTTAGCAAAATAAAAGGAAATAACTAAAAACCAAAGCCACAAAAAAATTTTAGAACTAAAATATAAATCTATACAGCCAAACAGTTCTGTTACGTTATTTTAATTACTTAGAACTAGAAAACAATTAATAATACATGGAACAAAAGCATGAGCTCAAACTCTTGTGTGTATTTGTGAGTGGTGCTGCTAGGGATTGAATCCAAGCCATGGCAGGCAAGCATTCTACCACTGAGCTATATCCCCTGCCCTCAAACTTTACATTAAATGAGGAAAAAACTATGAGCATAAGAAACCTAATACATATGAAAAATTATATAAAATGAAGGGCCTAAAACTACACTAAGTCAGAACTATTTGTTTTTCCAGTGAAGCAACATAACTATAACAGTAAGTATAAAGTCTAAAAAGATCTGACACAGTGGCAAAGCGATAGTGCTGTGTATGTGGGGTATTCAACAAAGTTCCTGACTTACCAGTGATAAAAACGGTCTCAGGAAGTACACTGGACTAAATGAGCACTAGTACTAATATTAAAGACCAGCTTAATATTTTTCAAGAGATAATTTTAAGGGTCTTTTGCAAAATACAAGAACTCCACTAATCCATGGGCAAAGAAGAAAATGGCTGACAGAGTATTTACCAAAGGGGAGGTAGGAGACATTTATGTTAAATTTAAAAAACACATACATGAACGATCATATATGCTCATGTATGAAATAAACTTGTATGCTTACTTATAGTCTACATGGTACAAGATGCAACACATCTTTTTAAAACTTATCAGTTATTAACTGATAGAATTAAGATTCTGAAAGACACAAAGGACAAAAAGGAATAATTTCACAACACAGAGCTTGCTAAAATATGCAAATGGTACTTGAATAGATGATGTTAAGATTCCAGGAGAAGTGCATTGCAAAAAATGCTGGATCAAAATTGAAGACATAATGCCTATTTCATACTTAGGGAAAGTTTTTAAAACAGAAAATCATATTAATATATTGATCAGCTTACTTCAAAATTAATCCTGTTCACAAGAAGTTTTTATAACAATTTCTATATAACAGGATAATTGCCTCTTTTGAACATCACTAACATTTTCTGAAGGACAATATAATCTATGACATTTTTCATATTATTATAGGAAGGTATAAAACATCAGTATAAATTGAAAAATCAGCAAAAGGTGAGGATTCTAACATATTCCAAACATCAGATGAAATGATTTTTTTTTTCTATAAGATGAAAGTGGTGTGGGTGAAACATTTTTCAGACAGGTAATAAGAGGGACAATTTTTTTTTTTAAATGGAAGACTGTACGCAGTAAAGAAAATAGCAAGAAACAATGAGCAGAATTATGAAGACATTATATAACTAAAGTCTCTGTGATACCAATTTGAAAATTTTTATTAAAAATTTTAATCACTCATAAAATGATATTAAAAAATTCAACACTACTGCTTATAACTCTTCATTCTAAATACAAAACATCATTCTTATATCTGTACCAAACACAAATGAGACCTCTATAACAATTTCAATTTTGTTATACAATTACTTTCCTCGGGCAGTGTATTGTAAGGTTAGTTTTGTAACACTAAACAGTAACACACATCCACTCAGAAAGCTTATAAGGTTACTTCAGAGTATGTTCAACTATCAGTGTGTTTTTTGTTTTTTTCCTGTTTTATAAGCATTAGGTACAGATTACCCTCCCTTCAAAATTTCAAACAGTGTCCAGGATTAAGCTTTTCTATAATCTACTTATAGTTGATTTTAAAAATATTTACTCCTTAAACAGTCTAATTAAAAATATTTTTAGTTGTAAATGGACACAATAACTTTATTTTGTTTATTTAGTTTTTTTATGTGGTGCTGGGGATTGAACCTAGTGCCTCATGATGCTAGGCAAGCGCTCTGCCACTGAGCCACAACCTCAGCCCTGAACAGTTTAATTTTAAATACTAATATTCATCAATAGTAAAATGTTTCAACATAGCTTATTTTTTTAAGCTGCCAGAGTGTGAAAAATTCAAAAAATTATTTTCAAATTAGTAAAATCCAGGTTGAATCCTGTCTCTATCATTTCTTACCTATACTATCTTGAAGAAGTTGCTGACTATCTCTTAAGTTTTTCCTTTTTTGGTGGTACTGGGGAATGAACCCAGGGGCACTCTACCACTGGAGCTATATCCCAGCCCTTTTTAAATTCTTACTTTGAAACAGGGTCTCACTAAGTTGCTAAGGCTGGTCTTGAACTGCAATCCTATCAACTCTACATTCTTACCAAAGCAACGACTAAAAAGCATTCATCAAATTTTTTCATATATTGCTTGCGTAGTGTTAAAGCCTTTCGGAAAAGCAGTTTGGCAATAAATATCAATGGGAATATCTTATGACCCATATATTTTATACAAGTTATCACAGGATATTATAAAATGTACACAAAATTTATTATTTCCACTGATGTACATAATACTAGAAAATCAGATGCAACTTGAATGCCCATCAAGAAAAGACATTATATTAATGCATATCTATGTATTTGAATTATCTATAAATAATAAGAATTATTATTTGGGCAATTATATAGAATGATAGCTAGAAATAAATATATCAATTTTAAACACCGTTGATATTTGATGAATTTTTATTCTTTTTTTTTTTTTTTAAACACAATGCCTTCATTTTTATGTGGTGCTGAGAATCAAACTCAGGTCCCGCCCATGCTAGGCGAGCGCTCTACCCCTGAGCCACAATCCCAGCCCTGAATTTTTATTCTTTAAGTCTTAGTAGCTTTACACTAAGTTAACCAAACTAGTATGAAATTATATCTATCTGGCAATATGATCAGAGGAAAAATTTTAAAAGGTTTTGGATCACTAAATACAAGACACAAGTGGTAAATAAATCAATTAGAAAAAAAAGAGGCTGCTGTATTCCTCTGGTGAAAGAAAGAAAAAACAAGAGCAGGGGAGAGAGTAAAGAGAAGAGTAGGGAAGAGAAGGGGAGGGAAGCAGGAGCAGGTGCAGGAACCAGAGCAGGAGCAGGAGCAGAAGCAAGAGCAAGAGCAAGAGCAAGAGCAAGAGCAAGAGCAAGTGCAAGTGCAAGAGCAAGAGCAAGAGCAAGAGCAAGAAAAAGCATATATATTTACCTGATGATGATGAAGTTAGTGAAGCTGAAGATGATGAATCAAGAGATGGTCCAAATAGGGGGTCCCAAGCAAGTAAATCACTGGTTCCTTTTCTACCATACCATTAAAAAAAAAGATTTTAACACAATAATATATTATTAGTATAAAAATTAGTCACATTTGTTTCGTAGAATTCTAACAGCTTACTCGAAATGATTGAAAAGTTGGATATTTTGCCAATGGTTTATATGACTTAATAAACTGAATAAAACAAGTACTTAAACAGAACCTACAATAAATTGGCAGGAGAAAATAGGGAAGATTAATCTCCCTTAATCATGCCTTATTAGACTCCCTTAACCTTGGGAATGAGAATAATGGTTTCAGCTTTGCAAATGAAGAAAAGCAGCATACAGATTCTAAATGAATTGTCCAAACACACAGAGTTACTTGATTCTAAAACAGTCTCACCTCTACTGAAACACACCTAGCACCCAGTCTTGAACAGAAAATTTAAGTGATTTACAGATATATTATCTTAATTGAGACACTTCCCCATTTTGAAGTTCACAAAATACAGTCTATAAAGTAACAGTCAAAACTGTAGGAAGACCTGGGTATGTGGTGGTGCACACCTGTAATCCCAGCAACTCAGAGGCTAAGGCAGGAAGGAGGATCACAAGTTCAAGGCCAGCCTCAGCAACTTAGTGAAGCCCTAAGAAGCTTAGTGAGACCCTGTCTCAAAAAAATAAAAAGGGTTGGGAAAGTGACTCAGTGGTTAAGCACCCCTGGTTCAATCCCCAGCATCAAACAAAAACAAAAATAAAAACAGAACTGAAAGAAGAAATAAGAACATTTTCATGAGAATAACTAGTTGAAATACAGACATATATAAGCTTAGGATATCATCATTTATTTAGAAGTAGTGAGGACACCAAGGCCAATTGCAGTTAAACACATTTAAAGAAAAATCATCCTAAAATTTCAATATGGTATTTCACAGTTTAGAAAAGAGAATGCTTAAGAACACTTTACTAGAATTAAAATTCTAGAGGTAAGCTACAGAAAAGTATAGAAAAAAAGAACAAGAGGAGGATACTTAAAATTTAAATGTGATGGAAAGGAAGGAAATAAGCAGAGCAGAGGATTTTGAGGGTAGTAAAAATACTCATGATGGGGAATATGTGCCACAATGTGTTTTTAAAACCCACAGAATGTACACCACAAACAGTAAACTCCAATGTTAACTATAGACTTGGGGTGATTTAGGTGTGTCAAAATTTAGGTGTATGAACTGTAACAAATATACCACTCTGGTGAGGGATTTTGATAGGGAAGTTAAGAAACCTCTATACCTTTTTCTCAATTTTGCTCTGAAAAAACCTTTTTAAAAGACCTTAAAAGAGCGTACTACAGGGATACTGCTACATCGATGTTCATAGCAGCACAATTCACAATTGCTAGACTGTGGAACCAACCCAGATGCCCTTCAATAGATGAATGGATAAAAAAAATGTGGCATTTATACACCATGGAGTATTACGCAGCACTAAAAAATGACAAAATCATAGAATTTGCAGGGAAATGGATGGCACTAGAGCATATTATGCTTAGTGAAGCTAGCCAATCCCTAAAAAACAAATACCAAATGTCTTCTTTGATATAATGAGAGCAACTAAGAACAGAGCAGGGAGGAAGAGCAGGAAGAAAAGATTAACATTAAACAGATACATGAGGTGGGATGGAAAGGGAGAGAAAAGGGAAATTGCATGGTAATGGAGGGAGACCCTCATTGTTATACAAAATTACATATAAGAGGTTGTGAGCGGAATGGGAAAATAAACAAGGAGAGATATGAATTACAGTGGATGGGGTAGAGAGAGAAGATGGGAGGGGAGGGAGGGGGGATGGTAGAGGATAGGAAAGGTAGCAGAATACAACAGTTACTAATAGGGCATTATATAAAAATGTGGATGTGTAACCGATGTGATTCTTCAATCTGTATTTGGGGTAAAATTGGGAGTTCATAACCAACTTGAATCTAATGTATGAAATATGATATGTCAAGAGCTATATAATGTTTTGAACAACCAATTAAAAAAAATAATTATTATTAAAAAAAATAAATAAATAAAGTCTGCTCAAAAAAATAAATAAATACAGAACTTACTCATTGGGTGGAACAGATGGCTTTGATTTTGTTAATTCCTCATCTAATTAAAAAACAAAATGGTATAAAAAAATTCATAATATGAGAAATAAAACACTTTAATGAAAACAAAAACTCTTCACATATCCCAGTGCTATGAACAATTTAAATTTTGGAAGTGTTAAGAGACAATTATGAAGAAAAAGTAAGTTAAATTGAATTTCTGCTCAATCTTTATTTTTTCCAACATCTTCAGTAAGAAATTATTTAAGTCAACTACAACATTCATTAAAATAAAATTACTGGTTACAGATGATAAAACAGGGCTGTAACTTTAAAATTACAAGAAATGTTTAAATACATATATGTATTAGTAATTATTATATTGACTAAAAGTAGTGACTAACTATTGAAGGAAGTCCTATTTCAAAAACTTAAAATTTTTATAGCACTCTGGAGCAATAGTCTTTTATCACCTTTTGCATTTGTGATGTGCCTCATTTCATAAGCAAGTAATAAACAGGAGAATCACATTAGTACCACAAAAGTCATGCTGGGAGCATAAGCAACTTCCCCTGCACATTAATGGTATGCATTACCAAGCACTAGTTGATGAATGCAAAGTAAATCAATATGGGTAGCTGCAACAAACTTCAGAGAAGTACTTCTCTGTACACAACACCCAATCATACTACATTCTTTCATTTGGTTCAGTTTGGCTCCTTATTCTGCCTTAAAATACTTATTGTACTCTTCTCCATCTTTCTACATTTTGCCCTCGTCTCCATAACTCAAAAGTTCTCCATTTATCTTCATTTTCCCCACAATCTCTATCATTAAGCTACTACAACATATCTTTTTCAATGAAAAAAAATTAAATTAATTTTGGTACGTACTATGAATTTAATAAGTCTTTTTAACTGTGCTAAAACTTTAATTAGGATTGATGTTTTGGGTTTTTGTTAGTCATTCTGTTTACAAAATTACATAGCTTTAGAATTTGCTGTCTCAACTTGTATTTTTCCCATAACCCTTGTTATTTTTAATGCATGACTTTGCAAAAGGTGCCAACACCCTGAAGATTTTATTACTAATTTCCTATTTGCAAACCATATAACAAAACTGAAATTATCCATATGATTTAAAAATAGATAAAACTAAAGATTACTTATTTTATAAATGATTTTTGGCTCCTACAGAGTATGAAAATTAAACATTTTTAAGATTCTTAATCAGTAGTTACTCTTTGGTTTTGCTGATTTCAGAAAAATTTTGTAGACACATGTTAAAGTTTAAGGTGTCTCTTAGTGCCCCAAGAAATAATATAGATAAGTTGTTTTATGTTTATAATAAGTGTGCTTCTAATCCATCATTAAAAACTGGTAATAGATGAAAAGACCATTTATTTCTATAACTACATAAGGCAACAAGACTATCAAATTGCCTGATAAATTAAGGTATATAAAATAACCAATTCAGATGTCAAACTTACTAGACGAATTCCGATTCATCTGTACCTAAAACAGAAATGCAAAAACTAAGTACTACTAAATAAATACTTTAATTCTGTAATGAAATATCTGGTAGAACGCTAATACCTGGAATCTAGTTTTAACCTGTTTTTATTATATTTGCTTAATTATAAACTGTATTTACATAAAATATAGAAAAAATTCAACAGTTGTTTTACAGTTAAAAAAAAAATACAGGGGCTGAGGCTGGGGCTCAGTGGTAGTGTACTTGCCTCGCATGTGTGAGGCACTGGGTTTGATTCTCAGCACCACATATAAATAAATAAAATAAAGGTCTATCAACAACTAAAAAATGAAACTGAAAAATTTTAAAAAAACATGTAACTACAATCGCAAGAAAATGTTCTTAAAATATTAAAACATTAATGTCTATAGTAAGATACAATATATAACCTACTAATCTAAATAATTTAACACAAATATTTTAAAAATCAAGATTTAAACAATACAATGTTTTTTAAAAAGTCAATGAGCAAAAATACAAAATACTGCACTTACCGGACTGTGTCTCTAAGTACATGGAAAGAAAAAGAAAGACATTGTGTTCAGTATAGAATTTAAGTTACCCTACTTTCCTGCTCTAATAATTTTTCTATTCCCTTCTGAATCACACCTAAAATATACATACCTTAAAACACATACATTGTTAGAGGCAAGCAGAAAAGATTGCTTAAATAAGCAAATTGGACAACAAAATATACTCAAAGATACCTTTTTTTTCAAATCCGATATTAACTGAAAATTTTTTTTATTCATTTTCTGAGTATGAAATTAACTTATGTTCATCTTAAAAAAAAACAGAAAATTAATAGCACAAAAGATAAAATTCAAAACTCCCCTCTACCTCACTACCCAGAGAGATACTTACTATTTTGATATATACAAGCATTCATCTAGGCTTTTATTTATTTACACAAATGTTTTTAAATTACACAATAAAAAATTTTAATAGTTCACACCACTTGTACATCACTCTTGATGTTACACAGTAATAATACAATAAAACACCACTTTAGAAATCTTCTTTGGATTGGGGATATAGCCCACTGGTAGAGTGCCTGCCTAGGAAGTACAACACCCTGGGTTTGATCCCTAGCACCCTGGGGGAGAGGGAGTTCTACAATTAAATTCCAAAGTACATGTTTGGGAGAAAAAAACATTTTTCCCAATATATATATATATATATATATATATATATATATATATATAGAGAGAGAGAGAGAGAGAGAGAGAGAGAGAGAGAGATATTACCTAAAACATATAATTAGATAATATAAAATGGGAGAACTTTTACTCTTTATTATCAAGAAAAACAGATTTAATATCAATTATGATAATGCACAGACATTTCCCTGACAGTATAATATTTCTGAATTCAGACTATGACATTATCAATGAAAAGATTTATTTTAGTAATGTTTTGTTTTTCCCTCAGAAGCTAGTGTTATAGTGACAGACAGGAAAAAAAAAAAAAAAAAAAGTAAAGGGGCTGGGTAGAATGCTTGCCTACCATGTTCAAAGCCCTAGGTTCAAACCCTTGTAAAGGATATAATTTAATTTTGAAATTCATTTCCATTGAGTACTTTCACACAAAGTTCACAAAATTTGAAAAGAAAACTTTAAAATTAGCTAAGAAAAAGATTAATACTTCCAGTTCACAAAATTCTACCTGAGACATACACCATTATTTATAAAATATAAAAATGACTGACTGAATTTTCCACATTTTTACTTTCTTGTAAAATACTTTCTGATCTAATATGTTCATTGCTAAATTGATGTCTTAGCTTTTTATAATGCTTAAAATTAAGTAGTTCTAGGTAGATGAGGTCAAAAAAATAAATAAATAGACATATCTATGAAGAATACAAATTTGTTCATGTTCCTACTTACAGATATTGCTGGTGAGAGTGTTATATTCCCTATAGAAACTTTTAATTCATCCAAAGAAGCCATTGTGTGATGTGAGTTATTTGGATGCATAGGCTTGATTTCTATCCGGTACTTCTTTGGTTCTTCATCTTCAGAGTCAGAATCACTAGATGAGTAGAAATGGTTCTCTTTGGTATGTGAATATCAGTTAAGGAATTTAGTTTTTAAATTATCTTAATGCATAATCTTAATGCATAATGTTTTCCACACATTAAAAGGAGAAAAACTTAGGGTAAGATAGAATAACAAATACAATGATTAACTTTTGTTAATGAAAGCATGTCAAACAATAGAGTAAGATTTTTGCTATAATTAAAAATTTGAACAGGCTTTAATTAACACATTATTTTGTTGTAACCATCTACTTATATGCCAACATAATCCCTAAGAATACCCATATAATAAAAGGATATCATTCTGATTTCCTTCTGGTTTAATACTATAACCTTCTTCATCTACATCAGGAATGTTCTATGGGGGGGAAAAAACTATTATAATAACAATTCCAATTTTCAAAAATATTAAAGATTAGCAAAACACCCTTAACTATTAGCGAGAAACTAAATCATTTACCAAATATCAACAGGTGAATAAAATTTTTAACACAGTGAGAAAATTAGATCTTTTTAGTTAATTAGCTTCAAATCATACTCCATGCTTCAGATGTCTGAAGAAAGAGGTGCAAAATGGAACAGGAAAAAAAACTCATAATTTCAGGTCAAAAAACCACCAGGATGAAGACCAATTCACAGTGCTCTAAATCTATAGTTGCTTTTCGGAACCAGGAAGGATAAGTGATTTTTTTAAAAAGCACTATGAAACTAAATATTCTCAATGCTATAAGAAGCTGAATGTCAATATAAGATACAGTGTGTCTTTAATCAGCTTAAAGCCTGGGAGAACTAATCAATCTATCTAGAATAGTGCATCAATATCTAACATCTCAGGAAGAGTTATCATGTGCCTCCGGAGAGAGGCAGCCTTGATAAAACAAAACAAGTGGAAAAAAAAAAAAAAAAAAACTTTAACATATATCTGATTAAGTGTTTAGATTCAAATATCAACTTATATAACAGAGAAGGAAAACATAATACACTGGGAACAAAATCATCAAAATCCACACTAAAGTAAACTACCAAACTACCCAGTCTCTTCAATAAATAAAAAGAAAGCTAAAGAAAGAAGGATGGAAGGGGAATCTATATATCAGGACTTTTTTTTTTATACATGTAAACAGATTCAACCAAAGGGTAATGAAACTGACACCAATAATAAATAATAAACACTGAAATGTTACCTGAAAATACTGATTTATCATAAATTATTTTAAAGTGTGCTCATATTGTGATATCATTTTAGAGATATACATGAAGGGGGTTCTGATGAAATTATATTATATGGAACTTGAGCATGAAAATGGATGGGCAATACTGGCTGTGGGAAATTGTTGAGGTTGACTGATGAGTACATGAGAGACCATATACCATTATGTGTATTTTATATTTCTTTAAAATTCTTCATATAAAAAGTTAAAAACAGTCTAATTGGCATTTATTAAAAGTTTGCAAGTTGCATATTACAATCAGATGGAAATTAGTTTTTGAAATGCTTTGAGCATTTTAAAGACTTCAAGAGGAGTCTTCTTTTGACACCATAAAATTCACTAAGAGGAAAGAAGAAAAGAACATAGTAAATGGGGAGACCTAACACGAAGTTAAGAAGGAAGAACAAATAAATCAGGTGTCATGGAAAACTTATTTTTTAAAAAATTAAAGGCAACTAGACATATCTGAAAGCAGAAGACGAGACAATAAATATAGATATTGCAAAAAGGAGAGGATATAAAATGGGAACAAGGTCTACAAAGAGCAAAGAAAAGAAGAAGAAGAAGAAGAAGAAGAAGAAGAAGAAGAAAAAAAAAAAACCCAAGATAAAACAAGGAGGTTCTAAGGTGCAACCCTGTAATCCCAGCTACTCTGGGGGCTGAGGCACAAGGATTGCAAATTGGAGGCCAGCCTCATCAATTTAGCAAGAAACACCCTGTCTCAAAATTTAAAAAAAAAGGGGGGGGGGCTAGCTATGTAGATCAGTGATAGATGGCTGGCCCCTGGGTTCAACCTCCAGTACTGTAAATCAAATAAACAATACACACACAACCAGAGAATACAAGTATTAAAGCAAACATAGGCAAAATTTAAAAAGTGTGAACTCTATTATTCTTGCATTTTTGTCAGAAATTATTTCTAGATAAAAAGCTAAAAAAGAAAAAAGAAAAACAGAAGACTGCCTCGAAATGCCAAGTACTACAGCAAAAATCCTTTTACTGATTAAATCTGCTTTTCTTCCTCTAATCACTTTGAAAGCTCAGCAGGAGAGGTATGGAGGATTGCAAAGTCAGGCAAAGTACAAGATCAAGGAGAACTAGGAGTAGTACTGACATGTGAGAACTTCCAGCCCAAATAAACAGTCAACTGTAGCCACTAATGAGTTAATAATTGAAATCAAGACTAGATATAGAAAATCAAATGTAGGGCAAAAAGATTTCACGGATAAAAAATAACCAATGCATAGGTATGGCACTAGAAGTACAGCACTGTCTTTGAGCTCTACATATTGCCTGCTGATATGCAAATATTACTTTAGAACACTTAAAAACTAAAGAAACTTTGTCAAATGTGAATTCATTAAAAATCAGAGTGAAAAGGGTTTTTTTTTCTTTAAATTATCCCTATAACAAGTATTCTAGAAACATATCAGGTACAGGAGTCCCCCAACTTACCCATGGTTTCATTTTATAAAATTTCAATCACTTGTGGTCAATTATGGCCTGAAAATACTCAATTGAAACGCCCAAAATAAAAAATTCACAAATTTTAATTAACTTTAATTATAGCATATTTCTATAATTATTCTATTTTATTATTGTTGCTAATCTTACTGTACTTGATTTATTAAACTTTATCCTATATATAGGTATATATTCAGAAAAAACAAACAAACAGATAGATGGTTTGTTTATTTCAGGCATCCACTAGAGATCTTGGAATATACCCTCCCCCCATGGATAAAGGGGGACTAAGATTTCAAAACTGACACTACTTTAAATTTCTTTACAGGGCTGAGGTTGTGGCTCAGTGGTACAGTACCAGCCTAGCACATGTGAAGCACTGGGTTCAATCCTCAGCACCACATTAAAAAATTTAAAGTTATTATGTCTATCTACAACTAAAAATGTTTTTAAAATTTTGTTTGCAATGGACTGTATAGTATGATGTAATAATTTAAAATAATACTAGCTGTTTTCAATGAGGCTGAGTAAGCTGCTTTTGACCAATCTCCTACAGAGTACACTATAAACTCTCGTCAAAATATATAAACAACTATCTGAAGGTATTGGAATGACCTAAAACAACCTCTAAAAAAGACTCTACAGAACAACTGACCCAAAAACTCTATAAAGAAAGAAAAAATGAAATTTTTATTCTTATTTTTTATAACTTATAAACTTTAATAAAATAGCAATAAATCTTAATAGTTTTAAAATGCAAGTATTTTAGATCAAATTAAGAACATATTTTGGTTTTATCTTTCCTTGTTTAAAATTTAACAACTTTATAGAGAATATCCTATAAAAAATGGAATTTTTAAAAGGTTCAAATAATCCAAAGGAAGGCAAAAAAATAAAATAAAAAAGATAAAAAAGTAGATTTAAACCCTGAAATATCATTAAATATAAATGGTCCAAGTGTATCAATTATATAAACTAAAAGGCTTCTGCACAGAAACCAGAGTTAAGAGACATCCTACAGAATTCACCCAGTAAGGAATTAATATCCAGAATACATAAGGAACTTAACAACTCAACAGTAATAAACCACTAAAAATCCAATTTTTTAAATGAGTAAAATGATCTAAATAGATATTTCTCAAAATAAGATATACAAATGGCCAATAGGTATAGGGAAAAACACTCAATTTCACTAATTAGGCAAATACAAATTAAAACAACAATGAGATATCTCACTGTAGTAAAATAGTCATTATTAAAAACAAACAAAAATAACAAATGCTTGTGAGGATGTAGGAAAAGGGCTACTCTCATACACTGTTACTAAAATTGTAAAATAGTATAGCCATATGAAAACAGCATCACGTTTCCTCAAAAAACTAAGACTATTTCTACAAAAAATGCCATTGGGATTTTGATTGGCATTGCATTAAACCTGTAGAGAACTTTGGGTAATATCGCCATTTTGATGATGTTAGTTCTGCCTATCCATGAACAGGGTACATTTTTCCATCTTCTAAGATCTTCTTCTATTTCTCTCTTTAGGGTTCTGTAGTTTTCATTGTATAAATCTTTCACCTCTTTTGTTAGGCTGATTCCCAAGTATTTTATTTTTTTTGAGGATATTGTGAATGGGGTGGTTGTCCTCATTTCCATTTCAGAAGATTTGTCGCTGATATACAGGAATGCCTTTAATTTGTGTGTGTTGATTTTATATCCTGCCACTTTGCTGAATTCATTTATTAGCTCTAATAGTTTATTTGTAGACCCTGTTGGGTCTGTTAGATATTTCTTGTAGAAATAGATAAAGCAATCATGTAATTCATATGGAAAAACAAAAGACCCAGAATAGCAAAAGAAATTCTAAGCAGGAAGTGTGAATCTGGTGATATAGCGATACCAGATTTCAAACTGTACTACAGAGCAATAGTAACAAAAACAGCATGGTACTGGTACCAAAACAGGCAGGTGGACCAATGGTACAGAATAGAGGACACAGAGACCAATCCACAAAATTACAATTATCTTATATTTGATAAAGGGGCTAAAAGCATGCAATGGAGGAAGGATAGCATCTTCAACAAATGGTGCTGGGAAAACTGGAAATCCATATGCAACAAAATGAAGCTGAACCCCTTTCTCTCGCCATGCACAAAAGTTAACTCAAAATGGATCAAAGAGCTTGATATCAAATCAGAGACACACCGTCTGATAGAAGAAAAAGTTGGCTACGATCTACATACGGTGGGGTCGGGCTCCAAATTCCTCAATAGGACACCCATAGCACAAAAGTTAATACCTAGAATCAACAAATGGGACTTACTCAAACTAAAAAGTTTTTTCTCAGCAAAAGAAACAATAAGAGAGGTAAATAGGGAGCCTACATCCTGGGAACAAATCTTTACTCCTCACACTTCAGATAGAGCCCTAATATCCAGAGTATACAAAGAACTCAAAAAATTAGACAATAAGAGAACAAACAACCCAATCAACAAATGGGCCAAGGACCTGAACAGACACTTCTCAGAGGAGGACATACAGTCAATCAACAAGTACATGAAAAAATGCTCACCATCTCTAGCAGTCAGAGAAATGCAAATCAAAACCACCCTAAGATACCATCTCACTCCAGTAAGATTGGCAGCCATTATGAAGTCAAACAACAATAAGTGCTGGCTAGGAT